ATCATCATTACACAGGCGCGTTTTTTTATTATTATTATTACCAGAAAAAAATAAGCCAGAAAAATAATAAAACAATACCGCACACACACAAACTAGAATGTGGAGGACAACAAAAAAAAACCAAGAATCCAAAAGAATCCAAAAAAAACAGAAGAGAAAAGCACATATATAACGTATGTGTGTGTGTGCAAGAGTGGATCAAACAAAAAAAAATGGAAAACCATCTTTTTTGTATCCAAAGATGCGCAAATCACAAAAAACACATATCCCAAATACCAGAAGAAAACATTTGGTTTTTTTTCTATTATTATTTCGTTCATTTATTTTGGTTCTCTATACCTTCCCCATTGAACATATAGACAACAGACACACACACACACACAATGACATAACAAGCTTGTTTTGTGTATACTTGTTTAGTTTCATCTTTTCTTCATCTATTGAGATGAACGATATTGTTAAACTCAGCACACAAACCAAACACACACACACACACACACACACACAGATTGTGTGTCATACAACAACAATATTTTTGAATGTAAGCAAATAAACCAAGTATACAGAGTGTATATATATTTATACCCCACCAGTGGGTTGGAACAAATCATTGAAATATTTCTTCAGTTTCTATCTCTGTGTACATGGTATTGTTTTTTTTCCACAAAAAAAAACTGAATAAAACTGAACGAAATTGGAATTCAAATCAAATTCCGTTCAATTGAGTGTGCGCATAATTCTTGTAATATATCAGTGAATGCGAATAAGAATCCAAAAGAAGAAGAAGAATGAAAAAAAAATTGAAACCACAAATGTTTTTTTTTCATATATACATTGTTCTGAAAATGAAAAGATAAAAAAAAACCGTATTCCATTTTGATATGATAATAAAGAATTTGTAGAATAATAAATGAGTCTATACTATGATGACAATGAGATTAGAATCTTTCAACAACAACAACAACAACATCACCCGACAAGCGAACCATCGTGTGTTTCAACTAATAAAAAAAAACCGCACATACCAGAGAAAAATTCATTGAAATTTGGAACCAAAATGGATCCAAACAGACAATCAAAATGAAACCTGATAATCGATTGAATCGATTTTTTTTTTGTCATTTCATAATCATTATTTTTCTTCTTGAAAAAGGGTGAGAAAGAAACTCACAACAATAAAGATATCATCATTTGATTAATCAGTCAGTCAGTTAGTCAGTTTTTTTTTGTTGATTAGAACAGAGAAGAAACAGAATCTGTAAATGAAAATTTTTTTACACTCAATATTGTTGATGTGATGTGATATATCCCGGGATTTTTTTTTGTTGTTGTAAATAATCAATATCCGACCCGATATGGAACCAGTGGATATATACGATGCGTATAATGCAAAAAAAAATCCCAAGAGTTATCCAAAATTGTGTAAAAGCAGAACGACCGCAATACGATCAGGGAAATTACCATTGAATTAATTGTGTGTGTGTGTATACGTGTGTGTTTACGCGTGTTGTTGTTGTTGTTTTCGATTATCCAGTTATCGATTGTGTGTGTGTGTGTATGTGATTGTACATATGTATCATATGCAAACATATCAAACAAACACAAAGACACACGGATTTTATTATTTTCTGCGGTTTCTAACTAATCGGACTTTTCTGATTACCAAAAAAAAAGTCAAAAATCTATCCATGTACTTCCCTATGGGACCATGGATGATTTTTGGCTTTTTGTTGTTGTCGTTGTTGTTGTTGTTGGCCGATTTAATTGAGCCAAACGATCATGTGTTCCACATGACAGACGTTTCACATATGGATCACACATCATATGAACCATATGCAAAATTATAAATTTGAAATTTTTAAATATATCACAACACATTCAACGATATATTCTATCAAATGTCCAATCAAAAAAAAAAAAAAAAAAAAATCTTGACCACAATGAAAAAAAACAGAAACAGAATCATTTTATATTCATTCATGCCTTGGGCATTGATTTGAAATATGAAATTCAACCAAAAAAAAAACACAAGACAAGAATCATTCATGAATGCCCAAGAGAATGATGAGAATCAAGATTTGTTCGCAAAAATCATCTGAAATCGAACGACAAACAAAATATAAACATCTGCTTTTTCAACCAAATAGGAAATTTGATCCAAGAAATTCTATATTTTTTTTAACACACAACGGAATCAAATACTTGTTTCATTTTCAATGGAAACGATATTCTTTTGATTCAAAAACCAAACCAAAAAAAAAACTTCGATTCATTTTGTTTCTGGTTCCCATAAAATCAACATTTTTAAAAACCGAAACCACGAAACCAGATCAAACAACAACAACAACGAAAAAAAAATTTGTTCCACATAGTTAAGATGCGGAACAAAACAAAAACGAAACGAAACGAAACGCAAAAAAAAAAAACGAAAATGAAAATCACAGTCTCACCAACAACATAGAGAGAAAAAAAACTGACAGATTCATACAATGAATCCGGTGTCTGGTACACACACACACACACATGTCAACAAATGTATTAACAACCGGAACAAATTCTTTCTTTTCATTGAATTCATTTTTTTGTTTTCATTCTAAATTCACAGTGTGGATATCAATAATGTCATCACATAATGTAGAAAAAAAAAATTTTGTTCCAAGATGAAAAAAACAAAACAACCAACCAGAATAATTTAGACACAAAACAAAAAAGGATATTCATCATCAAAGAATTTCTACAAGATTCATTGGCCATTGAATATAAAACAGAATTTTTTTTTTAGCCTCTGTTCAATATTTTCAATCAAAAAAAGAGAGAAAGAAAGAAAGATGGAACATAATCAGTGAAAACTTTTAAAAAAATCATCATCAAAAACAGGGTGATGAAAAAAAAAGAAATGTTTTCAATGGAAAAAAATTCAATTCAATTCAATTTCAAAAACGTGTCCTCTTTTTCATCATCATCATCATCATCATTTCACATGAAATTATCGTTTAGCCTAATGAGCCGTAAGTGACAACACAAAGTTTTTTTACAAAATGTTTGTTCATCATCATCATCATCATCATCATCAACGTCGTAGTCGTCGTCATCGTTTTTTTAAAGCATCATTTTTATTGTGAAAAAAAACACGAATGAATGGATGATGATCTGGAAAAAAATGAAAAATTCGTTCGATAACCATTTTTATGTGTTTAGAGATGTAATAATGTTTTTAAGGTGATAGAGAGACGTACACACACACACACACACACACACTTGCTTGGTTGGTTGGTTGGTTTATCTCGTCGTTTGAAAATTGTTTTTTTTTGTTGTTCAAATTTTTTTCCACTGTCTCATCATCACTTTTCAATTCAGTAGTAGCAGTAGTAGGGATTTACGCTTCAAGAAGTTTTTTTTTATCATTCTCGTGTGCGACAAAAATAAAAGTTTCCGGGAATGAAAAACTTTTTTTCCCCCCGATTGGCGAGAAATTTTCTTTTCTTTTTTTTCTGGTTTCAATCGCAAAGCAAGTGTTGGCCAGTTGATTTTACGAATTGAAATTGATCATCATCATCATCAAAATGACCATAGTGTGAGCGAAAATGTTAATCAAAACAAAAACAAAACAATCAGCCAGATAAACAAAAAAAGAATCACTCAGATTGAATGAACAAATGAATGGATATAGTAAATTGAATTTCAAATTGATTCGATTTACAATTAATCGATATCACATATATACACACACACACACACACACACACACACACACAAATTGAATCAATTTCGAGTATTGAATTTCGAGATTTTCATTCATAAACCACACAGGCACACACAATGGGCAAACTAATGATTATTGGATCACAATCAATTTCATCGTTTACAGTTCAATAGATTTTAATTAAAAACAAAACAAAAAAAAAACAAAACACATACCATTCAATGATGTGTTCGAAAAGAAGTAGTGGCCACAAAACAATATCCATATTAACCCCCCCCACTTCGAATAGTCGTCGATGTTTTATTTTATTCGAAATACAATCTTGTATGGAATGGATGCAAATTTGTTCAAGATTGTCCGTCTTTTTCTCGTTTCTTGATTCAATTCATGTCATTCAATCTGTCTTTTTTTTTGGTTGATTCATTGTTGATTCATTCATTAATTCAATTCATAATGTCAAATTCAATGTTGTCAATTTTGTCTTGCTTTGCTCGAAAAAAAAATGAAATGAAATGCAAAATAATTCATGCTTCGTTGAATAACTAATGAAAAAAAATGTATGACTTGCATATGATCTTCATGATCATCATCATCAACCAGTGAACGAATAGACGAGCAAACGAGAAACCTAAAAGCTTGGAATAAGTGGAATCGAATGTATATAAATGGTAAAGAAAAAACTTATGGAATTCTTATTATTCACTCACTTGTCAATGAATCAAACATACACACACACACATGTCAACCATGAGTGTAAATGAATAAAGAGAATAGAATCTCATTAGAATAATTGAATGAATCAAATAATCAATTCAAATACCATTGTGATGATGAATGAAAATAAGAATAGAGAATCAATCAGAAACCAGATATAGACACGAAAAAAACAAAGAATCAAATCAAAATAATAATAATGTGATGAACGTATATATGATCACATGATGTCCGAATCGATTATTAATCGTCCATCATTATTATTAATGAAAACATTCGAAAATGCATAGGCTATAAATGTATACATTCATTATAAATTTCTCATTTTGACATGATGTCGATGATGATGACCATTTTATATTTTGTTCATTAAGTTGATGATCATTATCGATGGTCAATTGATGATGGATTTAATTATGAAAATTGATTGTTTTTTTCATTATTATCCATATGGATGGCAATGGTAAAGCGAAAAAAATAAGCTAAGCAAGTCATATGAATTGTTTTGATTTATTGATAAAAAATTGGAAAAGAAAAATGATAAAGTAAATTTTTGATTAAAATTTTTTCAAACAATGGAATTATTATCGAATGAATGATTGTTGGTGGTAAAAGTCATGAAAGTTTAAAAAAATTTTGTTCGTTTTGATGAAGATTGTTGGCGATTTTTGTCCAGATGAGCAATCTTGTTATACAATTCCTTCATTTCGTATTTGATAATTAATGTACGATATGTGGGCATAGTTTGTTCATCCAAATCATTCCGTATGAATATTTCACAATATTCCATCAACCTTTCATCACCATAACAATTGGCCAGATCAACAATTTCGACTATGTTTTGATGATTAATATGAATTTTTCCTTTATGTAACAGACGTAGATATGCATAGTATGTTTCATAGGAATAATTTTCGATGGGTACTTGGTCATTTTCACTCCAATTACCGGAAAACATTCGTTGATAATATTCCGATGCAGATTTGAGATAACATTTGCATGCCTTAATACGTTTTTTGCCAATTATAAATTCCACATCATAATTATCTTGATTATCAAACAATTGGAGGATTGATTTGTACATAAATGAATCATGTGATCTGAATACATGGATTGTTGATGCGAGACCAAATGTGAGTGGTGATGATAAAATCATTGTCGACGCAGAAGCAAATGATGAATGTGGATTATTCAATTTTTTAGGTGATGACCATTTGCCATATTTGGTTTTTCCCCATGCATAATACCATGATCCATCATGTGCCAATGAAAATGAATGGTCTCTTGAACATGCAATTTGTTGCACATTTTTAATCGGTATTTTTGTCAACTTTGATCGTTTAATATCATCACCAAGACCAAGTTCACCATTATAATTAAAACCACATCCCCAAAGCTGACCATTTTCGAATAAAAATAATGAATGATACATGCCAGCCACAATATCTTTGATTCGTGTTGAATCATCATTTGGAAATGGAACAAGACATGGGGTGTTTCGGTTTTTTTCATCCCCAAGACCTAATTGACCACAACTATTAAGGCCCCAGGAATAAATTTTTTCTTCATTAGTTATTGATAAACTATGATACTCTCCACAAGCTATGAGCTTTACATTTTCTGGGTTATCAATGTGGATCATACATTCATATGATGATTTTTCATTACCAGTTATTTGACCATAACTATTATCACCAACAGCGAAAACATGACCATCTTGTCGTAACATTAATAAATGCAAACATCCACAAGCAATCATCTTAAAACGATCATTATTGTTTGAAATCAATCGTAATGTTCTCTTTGTTTTCCATTTAGATTCTTCATCGCTGGCTATGAATACATGTCCATCATCAGTTAGAATGGCAACGAAATTATAGCCAGAATCTACTTGAACAATTTTTACATCATTCAAAACTGATATCCGCTGCGGTTTGGTAAAATCATATTCCAACGATAACGATGAGCATATTTGTACACCATATGCAAATGTTGCATTTTTGGTCATCAATAAAAATTGTTTATATTTTTTGAAAGTAAAAAAACCAAAAATTGAAACAACTGATTGAAGAAATTTTTGTTGGATGTATATGAAATCATCTCGAAATAAATATAAATAAATATCAATATTATCAATCGCTGATCTTGCCATTGTCGATAATGAAAAACACTCGAAAAATTGAAATATAGACAAAATGATGATTGACAAACGAAAATTAGTATAGTATGTAGTGTACTCGTTAACTATTCATTTATTCGAATGAATTCAAAACACATTTTTTCACTAAACAACTCTGCTCGAATTGGGGTTCATCATCAATGACGTTAACAAACCATCACATTTAAATTTCTCTCCCCAACCTAAACATCATAAAAAACAAAAAAATAAAATAAAATAAATGAATTTGAACAATAACCAAAACAAACAAAAGAAAAAAAATTACAATTCTTGAAAAATTAATAATTTCATGCAACAAATTTAAATCAACAACAAACTGATATACAGATGATCAATTTAGTCAAGATTTCGTAAAGATATTTTCACACAAGAAAATCACAAACTGGCAATGAACAAAGTCTTAATGGTGGTTCATATGAAATGACTTCACAACAAGCTGGTCCATCCAAAGATCATGACGATCATGGTTTCAATATCAAATATCTTTATGGAAGAATAATACATCTGAAGATGAAGATCAATACGATTCGGATTCGTATTTGGTTGTACACACATGACCAGTAAGTAATAGTACACTTTTGAAAAAAGCATTACGGCCTATGGGAGAGAGGGTTTTTTCAAAGCTCCGAAAACCATGTTTTTTGTCGGAATAAAGCGAAAATATTTTACTAGTGCATAGTGAAAGAGTTGCTCTTTGAACAATCTGAGTTTCAACTTCCGGCTACCATTTTCGAGAGTAGAAGTGGGGTGTCAAAGTTTATGTAGGGAAAATTTTCGCCCCTCTCGACTGTAATTCCATCTGGCGGATTAATAAATCCCTGAGGTCGGCAAAAATGTATGGACACCATAATGTGTATTGCAATCATACTTAACATCAATTTAGACAATTTTGCATTTGTTTTGAAAATCTTGTTCCAAGATCTAGAAAAAATTATGGCTTATTTTGTGCCATTTTTACATCGAGAAAATGACAAATTTCCAACCTAACACGACCAGTTCAGATGGTTAGTTATTGGAATTAGTTACCAGAATTGGTTGGTGAATAATGTTTGTTACATTCAATTAATTCGATATGTATCCAATGTTCTGCCATTGAAGATGAAAATATTTATTTTCAGAATATGTTGTTGTAATTTTCCACACAATGAATAACATTAACAAATGATCATCAAAAAAAATTTTATCTGATTCGAAAAAATGTTGTAAAAGTCGATAATAATTCAAATTCAGTTTGGATTTGTCATTTTCTCCATTCTGAACTGGTCGTGTTAGTTTGGACTTGATATTTTTTCGATTGTGAATTTTGAATTGATTGTGTTAGTTTGGATTTGTTATTTTCTCAATTTTGAATTCTGAACTGGTCGTGTTAGTTTGGACTTGTTATTTTCTCGATTCTGAACTGGTCGTGTTAGGTTGGATTTGTTATTTTCTCGATTCTGAACTGATCGTGTTAGGTTGGAAATTTGTCATTTTCTCGCTGTAAAAATGGCACAAAATAAGCCATAATTTTTTCTAGATCTTGGAACAAGATTTTCAAAACAAATGCAAAATTGTCTAAATTGATGTTAAGTATGATTGCAATACACATTATGGTGTCCATACATTTTTGCCGACCTCAGGGATTTATTAATCCGCCAGATGGAATTACAGTCGAGAGGGGCGAAAATTTTCCCTACATAAACTTTGACACCCCACTTCTACTCTCGAAAATGGTAGCCGGAAGTTGAAACTCAGATTGTTCAAAGAGCAACTCTTTCACTATGCACTAGTAAAATATTTTCGCTTTATTCCGACAAAAAACATGGTTTTCGGAGCTTTGAAAAAACCCTCTCTCCCATAGGCCGTAATGCTTTTTTCAAAAGTGTACTATTACTTACTGGTCATGTGTGTAAACAACCAAAAAATACACAAACATTAACAAAACAGTGAATGACCGTGACACAAACAAATCATTCACAGTGTCGTAGTAAAACTGACACAATTTTGAATTTGAAATCGATTTATTGATCAAAATTGAAAAGAAAAATTAAAAAGTAAATTTTTGATTTAATTTTTTTTGAAACAATGGAATTATTATCGAATGAATGATTGTTGGTGGTAAAAGTCATGAAAGTTTAAAAAAATTTTGATGAAGATTGTTGACGATTTTTGTCCAGATGACCAATCTTGTCATACATCATACAATTCCTTGATTTCGTATTTGTTTATTAATGTACGATATGTGGGCGTAGTTTGTTCATCCAAATCATTCCATATGAATGTTTTACAATGTTCCATCAATTTTATATCACCATAACAGTTGGCCAAATCAACAAGCTCGGTTATGTTTTGACGATTAATATGAATTTCACCCGTATGTAACATAAGTAGATATGCATGATATGTTTCATATGAATAATCGTTGATGTTAACTAGATCATTTTCACACCAATTTCCGGAAAACATTCGACAATAATATTCCGATACAGATTTTAGATAACATTTGCATGCTTTTATACGTTTTTTGTCAATTATAAATTCCACATCATAATTATCTTGATTATCAAATAATCGGAGGATTGATTTGTATATTGAATCATTCGATCCGAATGCATAGATGGTTGATGTGAGACCAAATGTGATTGGTGAATCCAATACCTGAACTGATACAGAAGCAAATGATGTCGGTTGACCGTCCAATTTTCTCGGTGATAACCAATCGCCATTTTCGGTTTTGCCCCATGCATAATACGATGATCCATCATGCGCCAATGAAAACCTGCCGAATTTGGAACATGCAATTTGTTGTACATTTTCAATTGGTATTTTTGTCGGTGTTGATCGTTTAATATCATCACCAAGACCAAGTTCACCATTATAATTAAAACCACATCCCCAAAGCTGACCATTTTCGAATAAAAATAATGAATGTTCATGGCCAGCAACAATATCTTTGATGCGGCTTGAATCACTATTTGGAAATGGAACAAGACATGGAGTGTTTCGTTTGTTTTCATCACCATAACCTAATTGACCAGAATAATTAAGGCCCCAGGAATAAATTTTGCCTTTATTAGTTGTTGATAAACTATGATACTCTCCACAAGCTATGAGCTTAACATTTTCTGGGTTATCAATTTTGATAATACTTTGATATGATGATTCTTCATTACCAGTTATTTGACCAAAATGATTATCACCAACAGCGAAAACATGACCATCTTGTCGTAACATTAATAAATGCAAACATCCACAAGCAATCATCTTAAAACGATCATTATTGTTTGAAATCAATCGTAATGTTCTCTTTGTTTTCCATTTAGATTCAACATCGCTGGCTATGAATACTTGTCCTTCATCAGTAAGAATGGCAACAAAATCAGCGCCAGAATCTACTTGAACAATTGTCATATCATCAAGACAAGATATCCGTCGTGGTCTGATCATATCATGTTCCAACGATAACCATGAGCATATTACTTCACCATATGCAAACGTAGCTTCTTTGGTCATCAATAAAAATTCTTTTTCAATGTCTATGAAAGGAAACAATCTGAAAATCGAAACTACTGATGGGAGAAATTCTTGATCAATGTTTTTGAATTCATCTTTGAATAACTCAAGATCAATATTTTCATTCGGTAATCTTGCCATTATCGATGATGAAAAACACTCGAATCATAGACAAAATAATGACAAACTATATTAGAGAATTAGTGACGGTGGAAAAGAAATGATCAACAAAAAAAATGACAAAACTATTTGATAGATTGACAATTTGTGAAAATTATCTGGGAGTGAGCAAAAATTAATTTCGAAGGTGTGTGCATAACGTCATTCGCTACAGATTGTTTTTCACTTTTTTCTCGAATAAATCAACGGCCAGTTTTAATACCTTCAAACAGTGCTTTTAGCGACATCTGGCTGCAGCGGAAAAAATCAATTATAGTGTTGAAATGAAATCTGTTTGTGCAGCTATGTGCACCATAATCCAAGGCGCTTTAATCATCATTATACACATAAAATGAAGAAGAAATGGAAAAAAAATTATTTATTGATGATCCAAGGAATCAATGATGATGATAAAACACATTAGATTTGAGTTGACATTTATTCGCTTTAATACATTTTTTTTGTCTATTATAAATGTCAGGGAATTGTTATGGTTTTAATAAAATCATAACAATCCCACAAATCGAAGCCGAAATGATCGAGCATCAAAGGATGCGACAAACATCGTTAAACATCCAAAAAAATAAAAATAATATTGTTATGAGAAAATTATAATAAATGTAAAACACAAACAAAAGATACATTTTAGGGAATTGTTTTGTCTATTACGAAATAGACAAAACTATCATAACCGACATCAAAGGATGCGAAGAACATCCGAAAACTTTGAACATTCGAATGATAAAACAAAACAAATTGTAATTCTGAAATTACTATATAAACGAATCTAAAAAGAATAATAAATTACGATAATTATTATTGGTGAATTTGAGTGAGAACGTTTAATCATTGATTTATTTCTGATATAAATTCCACCTCTTAATTTAATCATCTGGATATCTGAATTATCGAATAATTGGATCAGATCGATTCAGATTTGTACTACATTTGTATGCATGGATTATTGATGTGAGGTGTGATGATAATATGATGACCATGAGGTGTGATCATCACCATTGAGAATAAACAAAAGGAAAAATAACAAGAATTTCAACTTGGATTTTATTTAATTTTTTTTTTTTTTTTTTTTTGAAATTAAACACCAGACGACAAACAAGAATACAGGAAACAAAAAAAAAGATAAATTTGAATATTTTTAAAAATTAATTTCAGCCATTTTTGATATTAACCCTTCGAGCTTATCTTTAACATTACATAGGCCAAATGTGATTGGTGAATTGCATAACAGAGCTGATGCAGAAGCAAAAGACGAATGTGGATAATCCAATTTTCTAGGTGTTAACCATTCGTAATATTTGGTTTTTCCCCATGCATAATACGATGATCCATCATATGCCAATGAAAAGTTCTGGAATTTTGAACACGCAATTTGTTGTACATTTTCAATTGGTATTTTTGTCAAATTTCGATTATTTTTATCACCAAGACCAAGTTCACCATTGTAATTAGAACCACATCCCCAAAGCTGACCATTTTCGAATAAAAATAATGAATGATTGCTGCCAGCCACAATATCTTTGATTCGTGCTGAACAATTATTTGGAAATGAAACAAGAGATGGATCCCTTTTGTTGTAAAGAGTATTGAACCAGGAATAAATTTCTCCTTTATTAGTTATTGATAAACTATGATTTAATCCACAGACTATGAGCTTGATATTTTTTAGGTTAGCAATCTGGATCATTCTTTCATATGATGATGTTTCATTACCAGTTATTTGACCAAAATCGAAAACATAACCATCTCGTTCTAGCATTAATAAATGATGCTTTCCACAAGCAATCATCTTGAAACGGCAATAATGGGGATTGATTAATTTGAAAGTATTATTAGTTTTCCATTTAGATTTAACATCGCTAGCTATGAATACATGTCCATTATTAGTTAGAATGGCAACAAAATCATAGCCAGAATCTACTTGAACGATTTTCATATCATTTAAAATTGATATCTGTTGTGGTTTGTATATCATGTTTCAACGATAACCATGAGCATATTTCTTCACCATATATACATATGTAGCTTCTTTGGTCATCAATAAAAATTGTTTTTTATGGAAATTTTCTTTGGAAATAAAAAAGCTGCATATCGAAACAACTGATTGGAGAAATTCTTGATCAATGTTTTTGAAATCATCTTGAAATAACTTAATATCAATATATTCAGTCGGTGATCTTGCCATTATCGATGATGAAAAACACAATAGACACAATATTGACAAACTATATGCGAGAAATTAGTGATGGCACAAAAGAAATGATCAACAAAAAATGTCAAATCATTCGATACATTGAAAATTTGTGATAATCACTTAAGACATTATCATCATCATCAAACTTATTGATCAGCAATCAATCAATCAAATAATTTTCAAAAATTGGGTGGAGATGGAATTTGTTATATGCATCATTTCAATGTAAAAACCATAACGACGACAGTAATCTCAAAAAAAAAAAAAAAAATTTTCGGAATCAAATCATGATTGTCGCAATTGAAATGATAATTAAACTCATTGAAAATCATTATCAATTTGATGGGGAAAAAAATCTTTTAATAGAACAAACAGGATTTTTGCATTAGATCATGGCCAATGTATTTTTTTCCAGGAACTGGATTAATCCGTTAAAAACAATTGTTGTTGATCGTTGAACCAATTGAGAAATTCAATAGATTTTTATTTAATTTTATTAAAATTTTTGTGTAAATAAAAAAATCAAATCAATAAATCAATCGAATGATTTGTGATTAAATTCTCGGAAAAGAATAAATCATTTTTCAATGAATGATTGTTGATCATAAAACCAAACAAGAAATTTTAAAGAATTTTCATTGTCACGCAAAAGACTGTCGGTGATTTTGGGCAACATTTTTTCAATGCAAAGATGAGCAAGTTTGTCATACAATTCTTTAATTTGATATTTTCTAATTAATGAATGATATTTGTTCATTGTTTGTTCATTCAGATCATTTCGTATGAATGTTTTACAATATTGCAACAATCGTTGATCACGATAACAATTGGCTAGATCGATTAGTTCGTCAATGTTTTGTGGATTGATTCGAATGGTACCATTGTGCAACATACGTAAATATGCATAGTATGTATCATAGCTATACTCATTGATCATTATCTGATTTTTTTCCTTCCAATTATTGGAAAACATTAACAGATAATATTCGGAAACCATTTTCAGATAACATTTCCATGCCTTTATGCTTTTCTTACGGACGATAAATTCTACATCATAATTATCTGTGTTATTGAATACATCACCGATTGAATGAATGGCCAATTTTGAATCATAAAATTTGAATACATTCGAAATTGTTGTTTGGCCAAATGTGATGGGTGATAATAGAATCATTTCTGATGCAGCTGCAAATGATTCCGGTTGACCATTCAATTTTCTAGGTGAAAGACAATGGCTATTTTTGGTATTATAACCCCATGAATAATATGATGAACCATCATAAACCCATGTGGGTGTATTAAATTTCGAACAAACTGCTTTTTGTATTTTTTTTTCAATCATTATTTTCATCGGTTTCGGTCGATTCTTCTGATCACCAAGACCAAGTTGGCCATCACCATTATGACCACAAGACCAGATCTGTCCATTTTCAAATAAAAACAATGAATGTTTGTAGCCAGCCACAATATCTTTGATTCGGTTATCGATTGAATTGTCAAATTTAACAAGAAATGGCATTTTTCTTTTCTTATAATCACCAACACCTAATTGACCACAATCATTTTGGCCCCAGGAATAAACTTTTTCCGTATCTGTCACAGCAAGACTATGATGTTTTCCACAAGTAATGAGCTTGATATTTTTTAAACCAATGTTGACCATAGTTTTATATGATGATTGATATTTACCAGTAAGTTGACCACAGTGATTTCTGCCCATTGCAAAAACAGTACCATCTTGTCGTAACAATAATAAATGTTTGTATCCACAAGCGATCATTTTAAATCGATCATTACCAATATTGATCAATCGACACGTATTGTTCGTTTGCCAATTAGAATCATTACTGGCCAGATACACATGACCATCATCAGTTAAAATGGTGACAAAATCCAATCCAGAATTGACTTGAATAATTTTCATATCATTTAGAATGGAAATCTTTTGTGGTCTGGTCAAATCATGTTTCATTGATAGCCATGAACATATATGTTTGCCATATGCATACGTAGCATCATTGGTCATCAATATAAATTCAATTTTGTTACCTGTTGGTTTGTAAACAATATGGGAGAAAATTGAACGAATAGTTTGAAGAAATTCACGATCAATAAATTTCAAATTATCTTGAAATAAATCAATATCAATCACATCATTGGATGATTTAGCCATTATCAATCAATGACATAGACAAATGGACACAAAAAAAACTGATCAGAAACAATTTTTTTGATCAATACAAATCATCATTTAAATATGAAACAAAAACTTACGAGAAATTATTCGAAATCTGGAAAACAATCATTATCGTTTTTGGAATGTTAATGTGGTCATATACATTATCTAATGTAACCAATGTTTTTTGCCGATTGAATATCATCATCATGTTTTGATGACGTCAAGAAAAAAAAACATTCCTCATCTATGAACATCATTCATTGTTTTGTTGATTTTAAAGTTATTTGATGACAACATTCCATTTGATTCAATGCTGAAATTGAATTAAATCAAAAAAAATTGAATTTCTGGCTAAATGGGATTTAAAAAGATCAAATATATTGATGACGATGACTGACTGATACATTTGCATTTGCATTTCACAAAATTTATTCATTTTTCCAGAAAAGATTGTTCGAAATAAAACCATTGCAAAAATTTTTCCATACAATTTTCATTATCATCTGCTAGTAGATTATCGATAATTTTTGGCATTACATTTTCCATTGTAAGATGGCTAATTTTGTTTTGTAAACCACCGGTACCGATTTCATATCGTTTTATTAATGGCAAATAATCTATTAATGTTTGTTCATTAAGATCAATGCCAATGAATTTTTTACATTGTTTCTGCAATCGTTCATCACAATAACAATTTGCTATATCGAATAATTCATCGATATTAGTCTGATCGATACGAATGTAGCCATCGTGTAACCAACGTAGGTAAGCATAGTAAATATCATAACTATAATCTTTGATGATTACTCGGTTATTTTCACCCCAATCACCAGAAAACATTCGACAAAAATATACTGATGCCATTTTCAGATAACATTTCCATGCACGTATACATTGTTCACCAATAATAAATTCAACATCGAAATCATCTGGATTATTGAATAATCGGCTAATTGATTGAATGGCTAATAATGGATCATTATATTCAAATACATAGATTGTTGATGTCAGGCCAAATGTTATTGGTGATGATAGAATCATGGCCGCTGCAGATGCAAATGACGCCGGTAGACCGTCCAATTTTCTCGGTGATAACCAATCTCCATTTATGGTTTTACCCCATGCATAATATGAAGATCCATCATGTGCCAATGAAAAATTGTGAAATTTTGAACATGCAATTTTTTGTACATTCTCAATTGGTATTTTTGTCAACTTTGATTGATTCTTTTTATCACCAAGACCAAGTTCACCAACACTATTAGAGCCACATCCCCAAAGCTGACCATTTTCAAGCAAGAATAATGAATGATTTGAGCCGGCCACAATATTTTTGATTTTTGTATCGATCGAATCATCATCATCATCATAGTCCGGAAATTTGACAAGAGCCGCCTTGTTTCGATCTCGATTATCACCTAGACCCAATTGACCACAATCATTACTACCCCAAGAATAAATTTCACCGGAATTAGTCACAACAATATTATGAAATTGACCGCAAGCAATAAGTTCAACATTCTCAATACCAGTATTGATCATAGTTCTATATGATGATGGAAAATGGCCAGTTATTTGACCAAAATGATTATCACCCATAGCGAAAATGATTCCATCTTGTCGTAACAATAATAAATGATCGCGTCCACAACGAATCATTTTAAAACGATCACAATTAATCACGTTATCAATTTTCCAATTATTCGAATCACTTGCCAGATAAACTTGGCCATCATCGGTCAGAATGGCAACGAAATTTTTTCCCGAATCTATTTGTGCAATTTTCATATCATCAAGGCATGATATCCGTTGTGGTTGATTTGGATCATGTTTGAATGATAAATACGAACAAATTCGTTCACCATAAGCATATGTAGCCAAATTGGTGGCGATAAGAAAATTGTCATTTTCTTCGAACAATGTGACCAATGCAATGATTGATTTTTCAACAAATTTTTTATCAATTGATTGGAAAAATAAATTTTGAAATAATTCAATTTCAATAATGTTATCCGGTGATATTGTCGTCATATTTGGATTGGCGAAAGCAGACACACACACACACACGCACAAATACATAATATTCCAGGATTAGTGAAAAATAAATCTGATATGCTGCAAAAAAAAAAAAAAAAAACACCCAAGCATTTGATTTACTATTAGATAATCGCCTTGTAAATTATCGGCATTTATTTTAACACTAAAACAATGTAATAACAATCAATTTGGTGGTAAATAAAGAGAAAAGAAAAATTTTTTGAAATCAAACATCCAATTTGGATCTGCTTCTTGCTAGTTAATTATTGATAACGATAACGATAATGTATGCAATGACGGAACAGACGCTTTGGCCACAAATATATTGATTGATTACCAATGGAAAAAAATTTGAAATTCTAATTATGGTAAAAATAAAAAAAAAATTTAATTATACAATGATATTATTGGATCCCGTGATTAGTAATACATACCGAATCATTATTCAATAAAGAATTGTTGATCAAAGAACAAATCAAGAAATTTTAAAGAATTTGCATTGTTTCGCCGAAGATTGTCGGAGGTTTTGGGCAACATTTTTTCGATGCAAAGATGAGCAAGTTTGCCGTACAATTTTTTAATTCGATGTTTTTAATTAATGGATGATATTTGTTTATTGTATTCTCATTTAGATCATCACTTATGAATGTTTGACATTGTTTGATAAATTTTTCATCGCCATGAGAATAGACCAGAGAAATTAATTCGGTTATGTTTTGATGATTAAAACGAATTTCACCCATATGTAACATACGTAGATATTCATAGTATGCATCATAGTTATAATCACAGATCGTTACCTCTTTCTTTTCTTTCCAATCACCCGAAAACTTATCATCATAAAATTTGGATACAGATTTCAAATAACATTTGGACACTTTTATGCGTTTCTCCTCGATAATGAATTCCACATCATAATTGTCTGGATTATCGAATAATTTACAATTTGATTGAATGGTTGATGTATGATTAGATTCACATAGATTGACGGATGTTAGACTAAATGTGGTTTGTGATTCCAATAACAGAGCTGATGCAGAAGCAAATGATGAATGTTGATCATACAATTTTCTAGGTGATGACCATTTGCCATTCTCGCTTTCTCCCCATGCATAATAATTTAATCCATCATGTGCCAATGACAAGTTTTGGTCTTTTGAACATGCGATTTGTTGCACATTTTCAAACGGTAGTTTGGTCAAAGTTGATTGTCCAATATCATAACCAAGACCAAGTTCACCATTTTCGTTGGAACCACATCCCCAAAGTTGACCATTTTCAAATAAAAATAAAGAATGATAGTTGCCAGCTACAATATCTTTGATTCGGGTTGAATCAGCATTATGAAATGGAACAAGACATGGTGTGTTTCGGTTTTTTTCATCACCAAGACCTAATTGACCAAAAACATTATAGCCCCAGGAATAAATTTCACTGGAATTAGTCACAACAATACTATGAAAATGACCGCAAGCAATAAGTTTAACATTTTCAATACCAGTATTGATCATACTTTCACATGATGATTTAATACAAGTTATTTGATCACAACCCATAGCGAAAACATGACCATCTTGTCGCAACATTAATAAATGATAACTTCCACAAGCAATCATCTTGAAATGGTCGTTATCGGTGTTGATTAATCGTAATGTTTTATTCGTTTCCCATTTAGTTTCAACATGGCTGGCGAGAAATACTTGTCCTTCATCAGTAAGAATGGCAACAAAATCAGAGCCAGAATCTACTTGAACAATTTTTATATCATTCAAAAGTGATATCCATTGTGGTTTGGTCAATTTATTTTCCAACGATAACCATGAACATATTACCTCACCATATGCATATGTAGCTTTTTTGGTCATCAATAAAAATTGTTTCTCGTCTTCATAAATAAAGCTGAAAATCTGAATAATTGATTGAAGAAATTTTTGATCAATGTATTTGAGATCATCTTTGAATAACTCAATATCAATATTATCAGTTGATGAGTTTGCCATTATCGATGATCGAAAACACTCGAATTATAGAGACACAATATTGACAAAAATACGATAAAGTTGCGATAGAAAGAGAATAGCAAATGACTTAAAAAGCAAAAATAGCCAACCACATTGAATTGAACCAAAAAAAAAAAATTACTAATGTTCTATGAAAAGAAACATTCACAAACGAAAAACATGTCACAGATAAGTTTTTCTCAATTTATATACATGTATAATAATTGTATTTGTGAATAATCCCTAATGATTTGATTTTGAACACAGATATTTTTTAAATAAACGATCGATCGTTGTTGTTCTTTGCTTTAACAAATAAAAATAAAAAAAAAAAAAATATATGCGCAATAAAAAATATGAAAAGCCATAACACACAACACAAATATGAACGTTTTTTTTTGAAAATAAAAGTGAAAAGATCAGATTTAGGCAATCAAAAATCTTTTTTTTTTTATTTGTTTGCGATTGATTTATTATTGGTTCATCAAGAATAAAGTAAAAAAAGTAAATTTTCTTTTTTAGTTTTATGGAATGAAAAAAAACAATGAATTATTTTGAATGAGTAGTTGAATGATTGTACCAATTGAGAAATTCAATAGAATTTTCATTGTTTTGCCGAATATTGTCGGTAACTTTCGGTAACACTTGTTCGATAGCAATTTGGCTTAGTTCATAGTACAATTCCTTCATTTCGTATTTGGTGATTAATGGAAGATATGTGATCATAGTTTGTTCATTTAGATCACTCCGTATGAATGTTTGACAATATTCAATTAATTTTATATCACCATAACAATTGGCCAGATCAACAAGTTCGGTTATGATTTGACGATTAATATGAATTTTACCAGTATGTAACTTACGTAGATATGCATAGTATGTTTCATAGGAATAATTCTCGATGGTTACTTCGTCTTTTTTAAACCAAATACCGGAAAACGTTCGTCGATAATATTCTGATACAGATTTGAGATAACGTTTGCATGCCTTGATACGTTTTTTGCCAATTTTGAATTCCACATCATAATTATCTTGATTATCGAAAAATCGGAAGATTGATTTATATGATATTGAATCGTGTGATCCGAATTCAAAGAATGTGTATCTGAGGCCAAATGTGATTGGTGAATTCAATACCTGAATTGATGCAGCTACAAATGATGTCGGATAATCATCCAGCTTTTTAGGTGATGACCATTTATCATATTTGGTTTTTCCCCATACATAGTACGATGATCCATCATATGCCAATGAAAATGAATTGAATGTTGAACATGTGATTTGTTGCACATTTTCAATCGGTATTTTCGTCAACTTTGATAGTTTAATATCATCACCAAGACCAAGTTCACCATCACTATTGGAACCACATCCCCAAAGCTCACCATTTTCAAATAAAAATAATGAATGATAGTTGCCAGCCATAATATCTTTAATTCGGATATCGATTAAATCATCATTTGGAAATGGAATAAGACATGGGGTGTTTCGGTCTTCTTCATCACCAAGACCTAACTGACCACAATCATTACGTCCCCAGGAATAGATTTCTCCTTTATTGGTTATTGATAAGCTATGATCCAATCCACAAGCTATGCGCTCGACATTTTCTAGGTTATCAATCTGGACTATACTTTCATATGAGGATGTTTCATTAGAACCCATAGCGAAAACATAACCATCTTGTCGTAGCAATAATAAAAGATTCTTTCCACAAGCAATCATCTTGAAACGGTCATTACCGGTGGTGATCAATCGTAATGTTTCATTCGTATCCCATTTAGATTTAACATCGCTGGCTATGAATACTTGTCCATCATCAGTTAGAATGGCAACAAAAAGAAAGCCATAATCTACTTGAACAATTGTCATATCATCAAGACAAGATATCCGTTGTGGTTCGGCCATATCATGTTTCAACGATAACCATGAGCATATTTTTTCACTATATGCATATGTAGCATCTTTGGTCATCAATAAAAATTCTTTTTCGTATCCGTTACTAAAAAAATTAAAAATCGAAACAATTGATTGAAGAAATTTTTGATCAATGTATTCGAGATCATCTTTGAATAACTCAATATCGACATTTTCTGTATGTGAGTTTGCCATTATCAATGACCGAAAACACTAGAATTGAAGACACAATATTAACAAATGCGACACAGTTTCGATAGAGAGTGAATAGCAAATGACTGAAAGCAAATAGACAACCACATTGAATTGAGCCAAAAAAAAAAATAAAATAAAAAGATTACTAATGTTGGATGAGAAACATTATTAGTGCTGTCTTTTGTTATATTTTTGAACTTCTGAGTAGTGTATGTATGTTTATTCAAGTTTTTCTCAATTTATACATGTAAATAATTGTATTTGTGAATAATCCCTAATGATATTGAACACATATATTTTTTAAATAAACGATCGTTGTTGCTTTTGATTTAACAACTAAATAAATATATATGCGCAATAAAAAATATGAAAAGCCATAACACACAACACATACGTACGTTTTTTTGAAAATAAAAGTGAAAAGATTAGATTTTGGCAATCAAAAATCATTTTTTTTATTTGTTTGCAATTGATTTATTATTGATTCATCAAGAATAAAGTAAAAAAAGTAAATTTTTAGTTTCATGGAATGAAAAAAAAACAATGAATTATTTTGAATGAGTAGTTGAATGATTGTACCAATTGAGAAATTCAATAGAATTTTCATTGTTTTGCCGAATATTGTCGGTAACTTTCGGTAACACTTGTTCGATAATAAGATAATTGAGTTTATCGTACAATTTTTTCATTTCGTATTTTTCAATTAATGAAAAATACGTGGACATAGTTTGTTCATTTAGATCATTTTGTATGAATGTTTGACAATATTTCATCAACCTTTCATCACCATAACAATTGGCCAGATCAACAAGTTCGGTTATGTTTTGACGATTAATATGAATTTTTCCAGTATGTAACATCCATAGATATGCATAGTATGTTTCATAGGAATAATCGGTAATGATCACTTGGTCATTTTCACTCCAATTTCCGGAAAACATTCGATCATAATATTCCGATGCAGATTTTAGATTACATTTGCATGCCTTAATATGTTTTTTGTCAATTATGAATTTCACATCATAATTATCTTGATTATCAAATAATTGAGTGATTAATTTTAATTGGTACGATATTGAATCATGTGATCCGAATTCATGGATTGTTGATGTGAGACCAAATGTGATTGGTGTGGATAGAATCATTGTCGATGCAGAAGCAAATGATGTCGGATGATAATCCAATTTTTTAGGTGATGACCAGCTGCCATTTTTGCCCCATGCATAGTACGATGATCCATCATATGCCAATGAAAATGAATGGAATTTTGAACATTTAATTTGTTGTACATTTTCAATCGGTATTTTTGTCAACGTCGATCGTTTAAAATAATCACCAAGACCAAGTTCACCATATTTATTAGAACCACATCCCCAAAGCTGACCATTTTCGAATAAAAATAATGAATGTTGGTCGCCAGCCGCAATATCTTTGATTCGTGTTGAATTATCATTTGGAAATGGAACAAGACATGGGGTGTTTCGGTTTTTTCCATCACCAAGACCTAGTTGACCAAAATCATTACATTTCCAGGAATAAATTTCGCCTTTATTAGTTATTGAAAAACTATGAACCGCTCCACAAGCTATGAGCTCGACATTTTTTAGTCTATCAATGTGGATCATACTTTCAAATGATGATTTTTCATTACTAGTTATTTGACCATAACTATTATAACCCATTGCGAAAACATGACCATCTTGTCGTAGCATTAATAAATGCCCCCTTCCACAAGCAATCATCTTGAAACAATCATTATCAGTGGAGATCAATCGTAATGTTTCATTCGTTTCCCATTTAGATTTAACATCGCTGGCTATAAATACTTGTCCATTATCAGTTAGAATGGCAACAAAATTACGTCCATAATCTACTTGAACAATTTTCATATCATCAAGACAAGATATCCGTTGTGGTTTGCTCCTATCATGTTTCAACGATAACCATGAGCATATTTTTTCACCATATACATATGTAGCTTTTTCGGTCATCAATAAAAATTGTTTTTCAAAGTAAATTTCTTTGAAAGTAAAAAAACTGAAAATCGAAACAACTGATTGGAGAAATTCTTGATCGATGTTTTCAAGATCATCTTGAAATAACTCAAAATAGATACTTTCAATCGGTAATCTTGCCATTGTCGATGATCAAAAACACTCGAATTATAGACAGAAAATTGACCAACTATATGCGAGAATTAGTGACGACAGAAAAAAAATGATCAACAATTGCGTGACGTCATCTATTGTATATGTATGTCATGTATAGCGTTCTTGGTGGACGAAGTTAACATACACAAATGCGTATTCACACACAACACAGATTTAAAAATATGAGAAAATTTATTATTGTAAAAATTAAAATACAGGTGTTGGAAAAATAAACAAAATGTTTGTGGTGATGATGGTGGTAAATTAAAACGGCCAGCCAACAAAAATGATTCGAGGTGATGATTTGATGATTGCTTGTGTGGCATGGACTTTTATATGATTTTTCCAACCGTCCAACTGCCAATCAGTTTGACCACGCCACTTGTCACGTAGACCATGTGTTTGGATGATTGTTTTGCTACTCATATGCCAGTCCCAGAAGGTGCATAGTAGCGAAAGTCACCTTACCATTGTACATGATCGAAAGAAGTGGTAAACAAATGGAAAGTTTTTCTCGGGCCCAAAAATAAGTTTGTAACACAGGGATACGTTTTTTCCACTCTGGTTTTTGCCAGTCCAATTCTTCGTTTTCTGGCCAATTCAAAAAGAATAAAATCGATGTCCATTTTAGGACATCAAATGTTTATTTCTTACATAGAAATTCATAATGTTAACCCTAGAAAGGTAACCTACGTAAAATTTATGCGAATATACGACTGTTAAGGAAACCGAACAGCCATTTTGGTCGATTTTTTGGTGGTTTTTATGTTGGAAAACCATTTTGAACTCCTTTTTATCAAAACTTAAGAAAAAGCGAAAAAAAACTACCCATGGAGAAATTTGTGGGCTACAAATGTGATATTTTGGTGCTTTAGAAGAAAAATAGCCCAAAGTAGATTTTTTTAGAAAAAAAGTAGCTCAAAATTTTTCTCGCTTTGAATTTTCTAAAGATTTCCGTTAAAGGCATGCGCGTTTTGCATTTTTCGCGTTACGTTCAAAAGTTTAACCTGATGACTATTATGCATTTCTCAATAAGTTCGAATTATAACAATTCGATTTATGATTGAAAAAACATGTTGATGTTTTAAGTTTGAGTGTTAATGTAAAATTGAAATTTGAATGTTTCAATTTTGAAAAATTGAATTTGTTTTTTTGGTTGTCTATTATCAACAGATGGTAAGAGATTTGCTGTGTTCTTAATATTTATGTTTCATGTCATTTTTTCATTTAAGGGGGATAGGAACTGTAGAGGGCGCAAAAAAAACGCATTTTTTGTTAAATGATTGCTCTTCAATGAAACGTCCGAAGTTTTTGAAACTTACTTTTGTAATTATTTAGGATTCCTAGAATAATTTAACATAAACAAAAAATAAAAAATATTTATACATCAATATGAAACAATCAGTTTAAAATCAGCTGTTCAAAAAACATGGTCGGCGTGATATCTTAAGAACCGTAGCTCAGAATTTGATGAAATTTTCGGGAATTATGGAGAGGATCAGTGGCTATCGTGAGTGACTAAATCGTTATATATCTCCAAGGAGAAGGGCATTTTTGGGCCAATTGAAACTTAGGGCTGAAATATTAACAGTTTTTTTCTTTACATTCAGGCTAATATTCGCCATAATATCCTGTTCTGAGCCATAATTTAGTCACTCACGATAGCCACTGATCCTGTCCATAATTCCCGAAAATTTCATCAAATTCTGAGCTAGGGTTCTTAAGATATCACGCCGACCATGCTTTTTAAACAGCTGATTTTCAACTGATTGTTTCATATTGATGTATAAATATTTTTTATTTTTTGTTCATGTTAAATTATTCTAGGACTCCTAAATAATTAAATAGGTAAATTTCAAAAATTTCGGACGTTCCATTAAAGAGCAATCATTTAACAAAAAATGTGTTTTTTTTGCGCCCTCTATACTTCCTATCCCCCTTAATAGTGATAAAGATTCATTTTCTTGTCATAATTTTGTATTGTAACAAAAATATGATCATAAAATGTTATTCGAATTTGATATAGAATTTGAAAGACGAACTGGTAATCTTAATGAAGTTGAATTGGAATCATGGTCGAAATATGATGATATTTTGGAAGCTAATAAAAATGATGTTACATTTAATAAACGTTTGCATAGTGATGATAATGATAATGTCAAGGAAGGAATTGCGCGGTAAATTGAAAAAATTCTTTTATTTAAATATAGACTAATTTTTCTTGAATTATTGGCAATGAATTAGCAAATCAATATGCAAAAGATGGAACAAATTTGTCCTATATTTCGTATGATCTTTTTCTAATTTCATTGGCCAAATATTTTTTGGAAAACATCATGCTTTATAATTGGGATTATCGATGAAAATTTATTCATTGAATCACACCTCTACATGAGTACCAACGGCAACGAAATGAGTAACCTGCTTTCCCAAAGATCATTCTTTTTTTGTCCAATAATTCTAAGAAAATCATACCAACCAAATAGATTTTTACAAAAAAAACTTAATGGAACGTACAAGGCAAGGTTGATCGATATCTTTGTCCAATTTCTCTGGTCAAATATTTTTTGAAAAACATGCTTTACAATTGGTGCTATCGATGAAAATCTAATCAAGATGGAAGAACTACTAGATACTTCTTTTCCTCGATTTATGGTCATTTATTATTTTGTGGAGATCTAAATTTTATTTTGGTTCAATTTTATCTGGAGATGAAAAATTTTGTTTTCCAATATTTATAACCGATTGATTATTTTCTGTATATAATTTTTTTCTTTTTATCTTCTATTTATAATGGTATAAGAGGTTTTCTTTTATAATAAATAAACTTTATTAAAATAAAATAAAATGATCAAAATATGAAGCAGCGGATATGCAGAATATGAGAATAATTTCGGAAATTTATTTCATTCAGGTGAAAAGTTCCCTGTAAATTGTGATCACGTGATGGGCTGCAATGGTTCTATTTTTCTGCTTAAAGCGCGCTAAAGATCTTCCATTTTCGTTCTAAAATCGATCGATTTTAGAACATTCTAATAAGATTGTAAGCCTGCGCTTTTAGAACCAAAATATCACATTTGTAGCCCACAAATTTCTCCATGGGTAAGCAGGTCATTTGAATTATTTTTGTAGATTTTTAATAAAATCACAATTTATTCAAATGAAAAAATACTTATATACAACCAAAAAATACACAAATATGAACAAAACAGTGAATGACCGTGACACAAACAAATCACTCTCAGTGTCGTAGTAAAACTGACATAACAATTTTGAATTTGAAATCGATTTATTGATCAAAATTGAAAAGAAAAATGATAAAGTAAATTTTTAATTTAATTTTTTTAAAACAATGGAATTATTGTCGAATAAATGATTGTTGGTGGTAAAACCTATCAAATCAAGAAAATTTAAAGAATTTTTACTGTTTTGTTCAAGATTGTGGCGATTTTGGGAAATACTTTTTATATGCTAATATGGCATATAATATGGTATGGTATATGATCCCTTCAATTCGTATTTGTTAATTAATGGGAGATATTTGGGCATAGTTTGTTCATCCAAATCATTCCGTATGAATGTTTCACAATATTCCATCAACCTTTCATCACCATAACAATTGGCCAGATCGACAAGTTCGGTTATGTTTTGACGATTAATATGAATTTTTCCAGTATGTAACATGCGTAGATATGCATAGTATGTTTCATACGAATAATCGTCGATGGTTACTTGATCATTTTCAATCCAATTACCGGAAAACATTCGACGATAATATTCCGATACAGATTTTAGATAAAATTTGCATGCCTTGATATAATTTTCGTCAATTATGAATTTCACATCATAATTATCTTGATTATCGAATAATGGCAGGATTGATTTGTATGATATTGAATCATGTGATCCGAATTCATATATTGTTGATGTGAGGCCAAATGTGAGTGGTGAATCCAATACCTGAACTGATGCAGAAGCAAATGATGAATGCGAATCATCCAATTTTCTAGGTGACGACCAATTCGTGCCATTTTTGGTTTCGCCCCATGCATAATACGATGATCCATCATGTGCCAATGAAAATGAATGGAATGATGAACATGCGATTTGTTGCACATTTTCAATCGGTATTTTTGTCAAAATTGATCGATTATTTTCATCACCAAGACCAAGTTCACCAGCATAATTAGAACCACATCCCCAAACCTCACCATTTTTGAATAAAAATAATGAATAATCTTCGCCAGCCACAATATCTTTGATTCGTGTTGAATTAGCATTAGGAAATGCAACAAGACATGGGGTGATTCGGTTTTCTTCATCACCAAGACCTAATTGACCAAAATCATTAAGGCCCCAGGAAAAAATTTCTCCATTCTTAGTTATTGAAAAACTATGATATCCTCCACAAGCTATGAGCTTGACATTTTTCAGGTTATCAATCTGGATCATACTTTCATATGACGATTTTTCATTACCAGTTATTTGACCAAAACTATTATGACCTATAGCGAAAACATGACCATCATGTCGTAGCATTAATAAATGATGCCATCCACAAGCAATCATCTTGAAACGATCATTACCGGTGTTGATTAATCGGAAAGTATTATTCGTCTTCCAATTAGAATCATTGCTTGCCAGATACACTCGACCATCATCAGTTAGAATGGCAACAAAACCATGGCCAGAATCTACTTGAACAATTATCACATCATTAAAAAGTGATATTCGTTGTGGTTTAGTCATATCATGTTCCAACGAAAACCATGAGCATATTTCATCACCATATGCATATGTAGCATTTTCGGTTATCAATAAAAATTGTTTTTCAAAGGACCATTTGAAAGTAAAAAAGCTAAAAATTGAAACAACTGATTGAAGAAATTTTTGATCGATGTTTTTGAAATCATCTTGAAATAACTTAAAATCGATACTTTCAATCAGTGATCTTGCCATTGTAGATGATGATGATGAAAAACAATTTAAAAACTGAAATTTAAGACACAATATATTGATAAAATATATATGCAAGAAATCGGTGACAACAGAAAAAAAATGATTAGCAAAATTGAAAATAACAAATGACTGAAAATAAAGCCAACCACATTGAATTGAACCAAAAACAATGAAAGATTGCTGTGCCATCACTGCAGATGAATAGTAACGGTCATTAGTTACATTCGACGATGAAGTAGTTTGACAATGAATATATTTAGTCGATTGATTTGTATATGAGAACAAGAAACGAAAATAAAGATCATCATCATCATCATTGTTGTTGTTATTGTGTTAATCGGTGTCGAATGTTATACTTTACTAAATTAATAAGCGCAATAAAAAACAGCGAAAAATTATTAAAATTATTATTATATGAAATGCCATAACACACAACACATACGTACGCTTTTTTGGAAAAAAAGTGAAAAGATTAGATTTTGGCAATCAAAAATCATTTTTTTTATTATTTGTTTGCAATTGATTTATTATTGGTTCATCAAGAATAAAGTAAAAAAAATTAAATTTTCTTTTTTAGTTTCATGGAATGAAAAAAAACAATGAATTATTTTGAAATGAATGGTCGTCATAAAATCAATTGAGAAATTCAATAGAATTTTCATTGTTTTTCAGTAATAGTGTCGGTAACTTTCGGTAACACTTGTTCGATAATAAGATAATTGAGTTTATCGTACAATTTTTTCATTTCGTATTTTTCAATTAATGAAAAATACGTGGACATAGTTTGTTCATTTAGATCACTCCGTATGAATGTTTGACAATATTTCATCAACCTTTCATCACCATAACAATTGGCCAGATCAACAAGTTCGGTTATGTTTTGACGATTAATATGAATTTTTCCAGTATGTAACATCCATAGATATGCATAGTATGTTTCATAGGAATAATCGGTAATGATCACTTGGTCATTTTCACTCCAATTTCCGGAAAACATTCGATCATAATATTCCGATGCAGATTTTAGATTACATTTGCATGCCTTAATATGTTTTTTGTCAATTATGAATTTCACATCATAATTATCTTGATTATCAAATAATTGGATGATTGATTTGCATTGGTACGATATTGAATCCTGTGATCCGAATTCATAGATTATTGATGTTATTCCAAATGTTAGTGGGGATGATAGAATCATTGCCGATGAAGAAGCAAATGATGTCGGATGATAATCTAATTTTTTAGGTGATGACCAGCTGTTATTTCTGCCCCATGCATAATACGATGATCCATCATATGCCAATGAAAATGAATGGAATTTTGAACATTTAATTTGTTGTACATTTTCAATCGGTATTTTTGTCAACGTTGATCGTTTAATATAATCACCAAGACCAAGTTGACCATATTTATTAGAACCACATCCCCAAAGCTGACCATTTTCGAATAAAAATAATGAATGATTGCTGCCAGCCACAATATCTTTAATTCGGATATCGATTAAATCATCATTTGGAAATGGAATAAGACATGGGGTGTTTCGGTTTTTTTCATCCCCAAGACCTAATTGACCAAATTCATTAAAGCCCCAGGAATAAATCTCTCCATTATTGGTTATTGATAAACTATGAAGCCCTCCACAAACTATGAGCTCGACATTTTCTAGGTTATCAATGTGGATCATACTTTCATATGGGGATTTTTCATTAATAATTAGACCACAATAACTAATATCACCTATAGCGAAAACATGACCATCTTGTCGTAGCAATAATAAATGCTCCTCTTCACAAGCAATCATCTTGAAACAGTCATTACCGGTGTTGATTAATCGTAATGTTTTATTCGTTTTCCATCTAGAATCATTGCTTGCAAGATACACTCGACCATCATCAGTTAGAATGGCAACAAAACGATGGCCAGAATCTACTTGAACAATTTTTACATCATTTAAAAGTGATATTCGTTGTGGTTTGCTCATATCATGGTCCAACGATAACCATGAGCATATTTCTTCACTATATGCATATGTAGCTTCTTTGGTCATCAATAAAAATTGTTTTTCAGAGTAAATTTCTTCGAAAGTAAAAAAACTGAAAATAGAAACAACTGATTGGAGAAATTTTTGATCAATGTTTTCGAGATCATCTTGAAATAACTCAAAATCGATACTTTCAATCGGTGATCTTGCCATTGTAGATGATAAAAAACACTCGAATTATAGACACAATATTGACATACTATATGCGAGAATTAGTGACGACAGAAAAAAAATGATCAACAATTGCGTGACGGTTTGGACGAAGTTAACATACACAAATGCGTATTCACAAAACACAGATTTAAAAATATGAGAAAATTTAAAAATGAAAATACAGGTGTTGGAAAAATTTAAAAACAAAATGTTTGTGGTGATGATGGTGTTAAATTAAAACGGCCAGCCAGCAAAAATGATTCGAGGTGATGATTTGATGATTGCTTGTGTGACATGGACTTTTATATGATTTTTCCAACCGTCCAACTGCCAATCGGTTTGACCACGCCACTTGTCACGTAGACCATGTGTTCGGGTGATTGTTTTGCTACTCATATTTACCACCGTCCTTGATCGAAAGTGGTGGACGAGTCCATGTTTTTATCGGGCCCTGAAAATAAGTCTGTGACACATGGTTTTTTCCACGCTGGTTTTTGCCAGTCCGATTCTTCGTTTCCTGGCCAATTCAAAAAGAATAAAATCGATGTCCATTTTAGGACATCACATGTTTATCGCATAGATATTTCTTACATAGAAATTCATAATGTTAATATACGACTGTTAAGGAAACCGAACAGCCATTTTGGTCGATTTTTTGGTGGTTTTTATGTTGGAAAACCATTTTGCACCCCTTTTTATCAAAACTTCAGAAAAAGCGAAAAAAAATAAACTAAGCAGGTCATTTGAATTATTTTTGTAGATTTTTAATAAAAACACAATTTATTCAAATGAAAAAATACTTATATACAACCAAAAAATACACAAACATTAACAAAACAGTGAATGACCGTGACACAAACAAATCATTCACAGTGTCGTAGTAAAACTGACACAATTTTGAATTTGAAATCGATTTATTGATCAAAATTGAAAAGAAAAATTAAAAAGTAAATTTTTGATTTAATTTTTTTTGAAACAATGGAATTATTATCGAATGAATGATTGTTGGTGGTAAAAGTCATGAAAGTTTAAAAAAATTTTGATGAAGATTGTTGGCGATTTTTGTCCAGATGACCAATCTTGTCATACAATTCCTTGATTTCGTATTTGATAATGAATGTACGATATGTGGGCGTAGTTTGTTCATCCAAATCATTCCGTATGAATGTTGCACAATATTTCATCAAACTTTCATCACCATAACAATTGGCCAGATCAACAAGTTCGGTTATGTTTTGACGATTAATATGAATTTTTCCAGTATGTAACATCCATAGATATGCATAGTATGTTTCATACGAATAATCGGTAATGATCACTTGGTCATTTTCAATCCAATTGCCGGAAAACATTAGACGATAATATTCTGATACAGATTTGAGATAACATTTACTCGCCTTAATATGTTTTTCGTCAATTAAAAATTCCACATCATAACTATCTTGATTATCGAATAATTGGATGATTGATTTGCATTGATACGATATTGAATCAAGTGATCCGAATTCATGGATTATTGATGTGAGGCCAAATGTAAGTGGTGATGATAGAATCATTGTCAACGCAGAAGCAAATGATGAATGCGAATCATCCAATTTTCTAGGTGATGACCATATGTCAGTGATTCTCAACCTTTTTTTTGTTGCGGCACACATTTTACGATTTCAAAATTTGGCGGCACACAAAGAAAAAGCACTGTGTAAAATAGATTATGATAATGATTTTAAATGTGCTAAATAAAATAATATATAATATGTACTACAAAAATAACAGTATGTAGCGTATTTGTTGTTAATTCGTTTATTCCAGTTCAGAATCGAGAAAATGACAAATCCAAACTAACACGACCAGTTCAGAATTCAAAATTCACAATCGAGAAAAAGGCAAATCCGACCTAACACGACCAGTTCACAATCGAGAAAATGACAAGTCAAACTTAAAACGACCAGTTCAGAATTCAAAATCAAAAAAATGGCAAATCCAAACTAACACGACTAGTTCAGAATCGAGAAAATAACAAATCCAACCTAACACAAGCAGTTCAGAATTCAAAATACAGAATCGAGAAAATAACAAATCCAACCTAACACGATCAGTTCAGAATCGAGAAAATAAATCCAACCTAAGACGACCAGTTAAGAATTCAAAATTCAAAATAAAAAAAATAACAAGTCAAACTTAACACGACCAGTTCAGAATTCAAAATCAAAAAAATGGCAAATCCAAACTAACACGACTAGTTCAGAATCGAGAAAATAACAAATCCATCCTAACACGAGCAGTTCAGATGGTTAGTTATTGGAATTAGTTACCAGAATTGGTTGGTTTCTATACCGTTTTTTAGATTCATTAAAAATTATTTTCAATGATGAATTGTGTTTTCCAAGATTCAGAGTTAAATAATGTTTGTTACATTTAATTAATTCGATATGTATCGGATGTTCTGCCATTGAAGATGAACTGGTCGTTTTAGTTTGGACTTGTTATTTTTTCGATTCTGAACTGGTTGTGTTAGGTCGGATTTGCCTTTTTCTCGATTGTGAATTTTGAATTCTGAACTGGTTGTGTTAGTTTGGATTTGCCATTTTCTCGATTGTGAATTTTGAATTCTGAACTGATCGTGTTAGTTTGGATTTGTTATTATCTCGATTCTGAACTGGTCGTGTTAGGTTGGATTTGTTATTTTCTTGATTTTGTACTGATCGTGTTAGGTCGGATTTGCCTTTTTCTCGATTGTGAATTTTGAATTCTGAACTGGTCGTGTTAGTTTGGATTTGCCATTTTCTCGATTGTGAATTTTGAATTCTGAACTGATCGTGTTAGTTTGGATTTGTTATTATCTCGATTCTGAACTGGTCGTGTTAGGTTGGATTTGTTATTTTCTTGATTTTGTACTGATCGTGTTAGGTCAGATTTGCCTTTTTCTCGATTGTGAATTTTGAATTCTGAACTGGTCGTGTTAGTTTGGACTTACCATTTTTTCCATTTTGAATTTTGAATTCTGAACTGGTTGTGTTAGTTTGGATTTGCCATTTTCTCGATTGTGAATTTTGAATTCTGAACTGATCGTGTTAGTTTGGATTTGTTATTTTCTCGATTCTGAACTGGTCGTGTTAGGTTGGATTTGTTATTTTTTTGATTTTGTACTGATCGTGTTAGGTCGGATTTGCCTTTGTCTCGATTGTGAATTTTGAATTCTGAACTGATCGTGCTAGTTTGGATTTGTTATTTTCTCGATTTTGAATTCTGAACTGGTCGTGTTAGTTTGGACTTGCCATTTCTAGAATCTAGCACTTTTTGTAAAACATTGATTAATAAAAAATTGTTTAAAGAAGAATTGCTTTTATTTGTTTGTTTAATTATACTTATTTTTCCTATGTTGGTTCCACTACAAACAATTCGCACAACTATTAATAGATATTTGACTAATCGAAGTACATGTTTTTGATTCAGGATTACCATAATATTCAATGTATCAAAACAAAAAATATTTTCATTTTATTAAATCTAAAATTTGGCGGCACAATCTTAGAATTTCGCGGCACACAAAAGTGCCGCGGCACAGTGGTTGAGAATGACTGCCATATGTCATATTTGATTTTGCCCCATGCATAATACGATGATCCATCATATGCCAATGAAAATGAATAAAATTTTGAACATGCGATTTGTTGCACATTTTCAATCGGTATTTTTGTCAAAATTAATCGATTATTTTTATCACCAAGACCAAGTTCACCATGGTTATTAGAACCACATCCCCAAAGCTGACCATTTTCGAATAAAAATAATGAATGTTGATAACCAGCAACAATATCTTTGATTCGGATATTGATCAAGTCAGCATTAGGATATGCAACAAGACATGGGGTGTTTCTGTTTTTTTGATCACCAAGACCTAATTGGCCACAATTATTAATGTCCCAGGAATAAATTTCTCCTTTATTAGTTATTGAAAAACTATGTCGCATTCCACAAACTATGAGCTTGACATTTTCTAGGTTATCAATGTGTTTCATACTTTCATATGATTTTTTGTAACCAGTTATTTGACCATAACTATTATCGCCCATAGCGAAAACATGACCATCTTGTCGTAGTAATAATAAATAATGCTGTCCACAAGCAATCATCTTGAAACGGTTATTACCGGTGTTGATTAATCGTAAATTATTATTCGTTTTCCAGTAAGATTCAACATTGCTGGCTAGGAATACTTGTCCATTATCAGTTAGAATCACTACAAAATTAGAGCCGTAATCTACTTGAACAATTTTCATGTCATTTAAAAGCGGTATCTGTTGTGGTTTAGTCATTTTACGTTTCAACGATAACCATGGAGCATATTTCTTCACCATAAGCATATGTAGCTTCTTTGGTCATCAAGAAAAATTCCTTTTTAGAGCTTAGGGGAGTAGTAGTAAAGCTGAAAATCGAAATGACTGATTGGAGAAATTCTTGATCAATGTTTTCGAGATCATCTTGAAATAATTCAATATCGATATTATCAATCGGTGATCTTGCCATTATCGATGATGAAAAACACTCGAATTTTAAACACAAAATATTGAAAAACGAGAATATGCGAGAATTAATGAGTGATCAACAAATGCGTGACATCATGTACTGTATATGTATGTCATGTATAGCGTTCTTGGTGGACAAAGTTAACATACACAAATGCATATTCACACACAACACAGATTTAAAAATATAAGAAAATTTAAAATGAAAATACAGGTGTTGGAAAAATAAAAAACAAAATGTTTGTGGTGATGATGATGGTGGTAAATTAAAACGGCCAGCCAACAAAAATGATTCGAGGTGATGATTTGATGATTGCTTGTGTGGCATGGACTTTTATATGATTTTTCCAACCGTCCAACTGCCAATCGGTTTGACCACGCCACTTGTCACATAGACCATGTGTTTGGATGATTGTTTTGCTACTCATATTTACCACCGTCCTTGATCGAAAGTGGTGGACGAGTCCAAAGTTTTTTTCGGGTCCAAAAATAAGTCTGTGACACATGGCCACGTATTTTCCATGCTGGTTTTTGCCATTCCATTTTTTCGCTTTCCTGCCAATTCAGGAGAGGAAAAAAAATTAAATAGCATATAAAACAAATTTTTGTGACATTCGTTCGAAAATGTTATACACAAAAACGACAGTACTTTTCTTACCTTCTAATATATTCGAGAAATTAGTGACAACAGAAAAGAAATGAAAATAGCAAATGACTGAAAATAGCTAATCAAAGATCATTTTTAAACATTTTTTCATTTGTTTGCGATTAATTTATTATTGGTTCATCAAAAATAATGTAAAAATGTAAATTTTCATTTTTAGTTTCATGGAATCAAAAAACAATGAATTATTTTGAAATGAGTGGTCGTCGTTGATTGTAAAACCAATTGAGAAATTCAATAGAATTTTCATTGTTTTGCCTAATACTGTCGGCGATTTCGGGTAACACTTGTTCGATAGTAATATGACTTAGCTTATCGTACAATTCCTTCATTTCGTGTTTGTTAATTAATGAAAGATATGTGGTCATAGTTTTTGCATTCAGATCATTCCGCATGAATGTTTGACAATGTTCCATCAATTTTATATCTCCATAACAATTGGCCAGATCAACAAGTTCGGTTATGTTTTGACGGTTAATATGAATTTTACCCGTATGTAACATAAGCAAGTAGGCATAATATGTTTCATACGAATAATCGTCGATGGTTACTTGATTATTTTCACTCCAATTACCGGAAAACATTCGTCGATAATATTCCGATACAGATTTGAGATAACATTTGCATGCCTTAATACGTTTTTTGCCAATTAAAAATTCCACATCATAACTATCTTGATTATCGAATAATTGGAGGATTGATTTGTACAATATTGAATCATGTGATCCGAATTCATGAATTGTTGATGTCAAACCGAATGTGAGTGATGATGATAGAATCATTGTCGACGCAGAAGCAAATGATGTCGGATGATAATCCAATTTTTTAGGTGATGACCAGTTGCCATTTTTGCCCCATGCATAATACGATAATCCATCATATGCCAATGAAAAGTTGTGAAATTTTGAACATGCAATTTGTTTTACATTTTCAATCGGTATTTTTGTCAAGTTTGATCGTTTAAAATGATAACCAAGACCAATTTCACCATTGTTATTAGAACCACATCCCCAAAGCTGACCATTTTCGAATAAAAATAATGAATGATTCATGCCAGCAACAATATCTTTGATTCGTGTTGAATCATCATTTGGAAATGGAACAAGACATGGTGTGTTTCGGTTTTTTTCATCACCAAGACCTAATTGACCAAAATCATTAAAGCCCCAGGAATAAATCTCTCCATTATTGGTTATTGAAAAACTATGAAACCGTCCACAAACTATGAGCTCGACATTTTCTAGGTTATCAATGTGGATCATACTTTCATATGATGATTTTTCATTACCAGTTATTTGACCATAACTATTATAACCCATAGCGAAAACATGACCATCTTGTCGTAGCAATAATAAATGCACCCCTCCACAAGCAATCATCTTGAAACAATTATTACCCTTGTTGATTAATCGTAATGTTTCATTCGTTTTCCATTCAGATTTAACATCGCTGGCCAGGAATACTTGTCCTTCATCAGTTAGAATGGCAACAAAATGACGTCCATAATCTACTTGAACAATTTTCTTATAATTTAAACGTGATATCCGTTGTGGTTTGCTATAATTATGTTTCAACGATAACCATGAGCATATTAGTTTACCATATGCATATGTTGCATCTTTGGTCATCAATAAAAATTGTTTTTGCTCATCGAAGGTAAAGCTGAAAATCGAAACAACTGATTGGAGAAATTCTTGACCAATTTTTTTAAAATCATCTTGAAATAAATCAATATTGATGTTTTCAGTCGATGATCTTGCCATTATCGATAATCAATACACACGAATTACAGAGACACAATATTGACAAACTATATGAGAGAATTAGTGAAGATGGAAAAGAAATGATTCGAGGGGATGATTTGATGATTGCTTGTGTGGCATGGACTTTTATATGATTTTTCCAACTGTCCAACTGCCAATCGGTTTGACCACGCCACTTGTCACATAGACCATGTGTTCGGGTCATCTTTCGATACTCATATTTACCACCATCCTTGATCGAAAGTGGTGGACGAGTCCAAAGTTTTTTTCGGGTCCAAAAATAAGTCTGTGACACATGGCCTCGTTTTTTCCACGCTGGTTTTTGCCATTCCAATTCTTCGCATTCCTGACAATTCAGGAAAGAAAAAAAGAATTAAATAGCATAGAAACCAAATTTTTGTGACATTCGTTCGAAAATGTTATACACAAAAACGACAGTACTTTTCTTACCTCCTAATATATTCTAGAAATTAGTGACAACAGAAAAGAAATGAATAGCCAAATTGAAAATAGCAAATGACTGAAAATAGCTAATCAAAGATCATTTTTAAACATTTTTTTTTATTTGTTTGCGATTGATTTATTATTGATTCATCAAGAATAAAGTAAAAAAAGTAAATTTTTAGTTTCATGGAATAAAAAAAAAGATGAATTATTTTGATATGAATGGTCGTCGTTGATTGTAAAACCAATTGAGAAATTCAATAGAATTTTCATTGTTTTGCAGAATACTGTCGGTAACTTTCGGTAACACTTGTTCGATTGTAATATGACTTAGTTTATCGTACAATTCCTTAATTTCGTATTTGCTAATTAATTGAAGATATGTTGGCATAGTTTGTTCATTAAGATCATCCCGTATGAATGTTTTACAATGTTTCATCAACCTTTTATCAATATAACAAGTGGCCAAATCGATGAGTTGAGAGATCATATTTTGATTGATTCCAATGCAGTCATAGTGTAACATACGTAGATATGCATAATATGTTTCATAGGAATAATCACGAATTTCTACTTCAACTTTTTCTTTCCAAGCACCAGAAAACATTAAACAATAATAATCGGATACTGATTTAAGATAACATTTACATGCCAATATACGTCTATCGCCGATTACGAATTTGACATCATAATTATCAGGATTATTAAATAGTCGAATGATTGATTTGGTTGATATTGATTCATGAAATTCGAATATTTTTATTCTTGATGTCAGTCCAAATGTTATTGGCGATTCTAGTATCATTGCTGATGAAGCTGAAAATGATTTTGGTCGACCATTCAATTTTCTAGGTGATGACCATATGCCAGATTTGGTTTCGCCCCATACATAATACGATGATCCATCATGTGCCAATGAAAAGAAATAGAATTTCGAACATGCAATTTTTTGTACATTTTCAATTGGTATTTTTATAGGTTTTAATGGAAGTATATCATCAAGTTTTGATTCAAGTTTTTTTTTCTTTTGCAATCTAGTGCTCAATAATTGCATTGAGTTGAATCTTATAGGTTGTTCATTATTGTTTGCTATCGTAAATTGTTGTTGATAATTGTTTGGAATCATAGTCGGTTGATCATCATAATTATAACCACAAGACAAAAGCTGACCATTTTTCAATAAGAATAAGGAATGAGATGGGCCTGCAGCAATATCAATGATTTGGCTATAGATCGAATCATGAGGAAATACAATTGGAAAAGGATTGTTTCGGTTGTTTTTGTCACCAAGACCTAGTTGACCACAATCATTTTTTCCCCATGAATAAACTTTTCCTTCATCGGTCAATGCAAGACTATGATTTCTTCCACAAATTATGAGTTTTACATTTTTTAAATCAATTTTGACCATAGATTCAAATGAGGACAAAAAAGAACCGGTTAATTGGCCATATGTATTATTACCCATAGTGAAAAGTACCCCATCTTGTCGTAATAATAATAAATGTTTGAATCCACAAGCGATCATTTTAAATCGATCATTACCGGTGGAGATCAATCGACACGTATTGTTCGTCTGCCAATTAGAAACATTACTGGCCACATACACATGACCCTCCTCAGTTAAAAAGGTGACAAAATTCAAGCCAGAATCAACTTGAACAATTTTCATATCATCAAGAATGGAAATCTTTTGTGGTCTAGTTATATCATGTTTCAACGATAGCCATGAACATATATGTTCGCCATATGCATACGTAGTAGCATCATTAGTCATCAATAGAAATTCTCTTTGAAATGTTTTGCTTGTTTCCTGGTGGATCAATAGACTGTAAATCCATTCAATAATTTGAACAAATTCTTGATCGATCGGTTCAAAAATATTTTGAAATAATTCATTATCTATGAAATTATCTGTTAATCTTGCCATGATAAATGATTCGAAACCATCAATATAAACAAAAATCAAAAGACAATATTTTTCAGAATTATTGAGTAAATAACGACTAGAAATAATCACTCATAAAATATATGCACAACATATGTGTTTATACACAAGAAAAAACGACGGTTTTTTTTATCAAACTTAATAAATAAAATAAAATGATGATTACACACATCACACACAAAAATCATTCAAAAAAAAAAAAAAAAAAAATGAAAGCAGTGGTACAGCATACACTAATCGGATCAAAAATCAGAAAGCTTATTGCTCATCGACAAGTGTTGACAATATTTTCTTTGTATAATTACTGTGGTCGTTGTTGACTAATAAAAATTTTATTTTGTCCATTAAGTTGATTATTATCCAATTGATGGCCAATTGATGATGAATTTAATTATGAAAAAATTGATTGTTGTTTTCATTGTTATCCATATGGATGGCACTGGTAAAACAAAAAAGAAAAATAAGCTAAGCAATTCATATGAATTGTTTTGATTTATTGATCAAAATCGGAAAAGAAAAGACGAAAATTATAACTTTATGGTGACTTTATTTGAATAAAAAAAAATTATCAGGAATACGTTTTTTTTATATAGGAATATTATTACAAGAATCAGAATCAAATTAACAGTTTTTTTAGTTAATAAAGTTATCCATGTGTATTGAGGAATATAATTATTTCATCATTAAAAGTGGATTCAATCAAAGTTGAAAGAGTTGATTTTCAAATAAAAAAAACGATAATGATGCTGTTGATGATGATGCATTTTTAGACAGTAATCGGATCAATGATTTGAAAAATAGCTTTCTCTTTAATTGTCACCATGCATTTTTTCACATTATTAGCAATGCCGTGAAGCTTACATTTTTTCTCTATGTGTGAATGTTTTACAATATTTCATCAATTTTTCATCGCCATAACAATTGGCCAGATCAACAAGTTCGGTTATGTTTTGACGATTAATATAAATTTTACCAGTATGTAACATACGTAGATATGCATAGTATGTTTCATAAGAATAATTGTTGATGATTACTTGATCATTTTCACTCCAATTACCGGAAAACATTCGTCGATAATATTCCGATACAGATTTGAGATAACATTTGCACATTTTTATACGTTTCTTCTCAATAATAAATTCCACATCATAACTATCTTGATTATCGAATAATTGGATGATTGATTTGGTTTGGTACGATATTGAATCAAGTGATCCGAATGGATGGATTATTAATGTGGGGCCAAATGTGATTGGTGAATTCAATACCTGAACTGATGCAGAAGCAAATGATGAATGTGAATCATCCAATTTTCTAGGTGATGACCATTTGCCATTTTCGGTGTTGCCCCATGCATAATACGATGATCCATCATATGCCAATGAAAATCTGTGGAATTTCGAACATGCAATTTGTTGTACATTTTCAATCGGTATTTTTGTCAACTTTGATCGATTAATATCATCACCAAGACCAAGTTCACCATTGTTATTAGAACCACATCCCCAAAGTTGACCATTTTCAAATAAAAATAATGAAAAAAATGGGCCAGCCATAATATCTTTGATGCGTATATCGATTGAATCATCATTTTGAAATGCAACAAGACATGGGGTGTTTCGGTTTTTTGCATCACCAAGACCTAATTGAACACAACTATTAAGGCCCCATGAATAAATTTCTCCTTTATTAGTTATTGATAAACTATGAAGCCCACCACAAACTATGAGCTTGACATTTTCTAGGTTATCAATGTGGATTATACTTTCATATGACGATTCTTTGTAACCAGTTATTTGACCATGAATATTACCACCCATGGCAAAAACATGTCCATCTTGTCGTAGCAATAATAAATGATACTGTCCACAAGCAATCATCTTGAAACAATCATCATCATTGGAGATCAATCGTAATGTTTTATTCGTTTCCCATTTAGATTTCACATTGCTGGCTAGGAATACTTGTCCATCATCAGTTAGAATGGCAACAAAATTACGTCCATAATCTACTTGAACAATTTTCATATCATCAAGACAATATATCCGTTGTGGTTTGCTCCTATCATGTCCCAACGATAACCATGAGCATATTTCTTCACCATATGCATATGTAGCTTCTTTGGTCATCAATAAAAATTCATTTTTGTCTTCCAAAATAAAGCTGAAAATCGAACCAACTGATTGGAAAAATTCTTGATCAATGTATATGAAATCGTATTGAAATAAATCAATGTAGATATTTTCATTCGGTGATCTTGCTATTATCTTGTTTCTGAGTTTATCTTGCAATTCGCTCATTTCGTATTTGTTAATCAATGGAAGATATGTGGGCATAGTTTGTTCATTCCGTATGAATGTTTCACAATATTTCAGCAATTTTTCATCACCATAACAATTGGCCAGATCAACAAGTTCGGTTATGTTTTGAAGATTAATATAAATTTTACCAGTATGTAACATTCGTAGATATGCATAGTATGTTTCATACGAATAATCGTTGATGATTACTTGATTATTTTCAATCCAATTACCGGAAAACATTCGACAAAAATATTCCGATGCAGATTTGAGATAACATTTGCATGCCTTAATACGATTTTCGTTAATTTTAAATTCCACATCGTAAATATCTTGATTATCGAATAATTGGATGATTGATTTGCACTGATACGATATTGGATCATGTGATTTGAATTCGTGGATTATTGATGTGAGGCCAAATGTGTGTGGTGAATTGCATAACAGAGCTGATGCAGAAGCAAATGATGAATGTGAATCATCCAATTTTCTAGGTGATGACCATTTGCCATTTTCGGTTTTGCCCCATGCATAATACGATGATCCATCATGTGCCAATGAAAATCTGTGGAATTTCGAACATGCAATTTGTTGTACATTTTCAATCGGTATTTTTGTCAACTTTGATCGTTTAATATCATCACCAAGACCAAGTTCACCATTTTTATTAAAACCACATCCCCAAAGCTGATCATTTTCGAATAAAAATAATGAAAAAAATGGGCCAGCCATAATATCTTTGATGCGTATATCGATTGAATCATCATTTTGAAATGCAACAAAACATGGGGTGTTTCGGTTTTCTTCATCGCCAAGACCTAATTGACCAAAATCATTATCGCCCCAAGAATAAATTTCTCCTTTATTAGTTATTGATAAACTATGAATCCCACCACAAACTATGAGCTTGACATTTTCTAGGTTATCAATGTGTTTCATACTTTGATATGATGATTCTTCATTACCAGTTATTTGAGAGCAAATATTATCACCCATTGCGAAAACATGACCATCTTGTCGTAGCATTAATAAATGCGACCATCCACAAGCAATCATCTTGAAACGATCATTATGGTTAGAAATCAATCGTAATGTTCTCTTTGTTTTCCACTTAGAATCAACATCGTTGGCTAGGAATACTTGTCCTTCATCAGTAAGAATGGCAACAAAATCACATCCATAATCTACTTGAACAATTTTCACATCATTTAAAAGTGATATCTGTTGTGGATTGTTCATATCATGTTTCAACGATAACCATGAGCATATTTCTTTACCATATGCATATGTAGCATCTTTGGTCATTAATAAAAATTGCATTTCATGGCATAAGAAAGGAAAAAAACTAAAAATCGAAACGACTGATTGGAGAAATTCTTGATTGATGTTTTCGAAATCATCTTCAAATAACTCAATATCGATAGTTTCAGTCGGTGGTCTTGTCATATTTCCGATTTCATAGTCCAATTCCTTCATTTCGTATTTGCTAATTAATGTACGATATGTGGGCATAGTTTGTTCATTTAGATCATTCCGTATGAATGTTTCACAATATTCCATCAACCTTTCATCACCATAAAAATTGGCCAGATCAACAAATTCGGTTAGGTTTCGCTGACAGATTTCAATTTTACCAATATGTAACATACGTAGATATTCATAGTATGTTTCATATGAATAATTTTCGATGATTACTTGGTTATTTTCACTCCAATTTTCGGAAAACATTCCTCGATAATATTTCGATATAGATTTGAGATAACATTTACTCGCCTTAATACGTTTTTCGTCAATAATGAATTCCACATCATAATTATCTTGATTATCGAACAATTGAGTGATTAATTTGAATTGGTACGATATTGAATCATGTGATCCAAATGCATAGATTGTTGATGTGAGGCCAAATGTGAGTGGTGATGATAGAATCATTGCCGATGCAGCTACAAATGATGTAGGATGATCATCCAATTTTCTAGGTGATGACCATTTGCCATTTTCGGTTTTGCCCCATGCATAATACGATGATCCATCATGTGCCAATGAAAAGCTGTCGAATTTTGAACATGCAATTTGTTGCACATTTTCAATCGGTATTTTTGTCAACTTTGATCGTTTAATATCATCACCTAGACCAAGTTCACCATCACTATTAGAACCACATTCCCAAAGCTGACCATTTTCGAATAAAAATAATGAATGAAACTTGCCAGCCACAATATCTTTGATGCGGGTTGAATCATCATTTGGAAATGGAATAAGACATGGGGTGTTTCGTTTTTTTTCATCACCAAGACCTAATTGACCAAAATCATTATCGCCCCAAGAATAAATTTCTCCTTTATTCGTTATTGATAAACTATGATACTCTCCACAAGCTATGAGCTCGACATTTTCTAGGTTATCAATGTGGATCATACTTTCATATGATGATTTTTCATTACCAGTTATTTGACCACAACTATTATAACCCATAGCGAAAACATGACCATCTTGTCGTAGCAATAATAAATGCCACCCTCCACAAACAATCATCTTAAAACGATCATTTTCGTTGGAAATCAATCTTAATGTTTTATTCGTTTCCCATTTAGAATCAACATCGCTGGCTATGAATACTTGTCCTTCATCAGTTAGAATGACAACAAAATCATGGCTCGAATCTACTTGAACTATTTTCGTATCATTTAAAAGTGATATCCGTTGTGGTTTGCTCATATCATGTTCCAACGATAAACATGAGCATATTACTTCACCATATGCATAAGTAGCTTCTTTGGTCATCAATAAAAATTCTATTTCAGTGCCTGAGAAAGGAAACAATTCAAAAATCGAAACGACTGATTGGAGAAATTCTTGATCAATTTTTTTTAAACCATATTGAAATAAATCAATATCGATATTTTCAATCGGTGATCTTGCCATTATCTTATTTCTGAACTTATCGTGCAATTCCTTTATTTCGTATTTTTTAATTAATGGAAGATATGTGGGCATAGTTTGTTCATTTAGATCATTTTGTATGAATGTTTCACAATATTTCATCAATTTTTCATCACCATAACAATTGGCCAGATCAACAAATTCGGTTATGTTTTGACGATTAATATGAATTTTACCCGAATGTAACATACGTAGATATGCATTGTATGCATTATAGCTATAACCACTGATCATTACCTGATTTTTTTTCTTCCAATCATCAGAAAACTTATCACTAAAAAATTTGGATACAGATTTCAAATAACATTTGCACCCCTTAATACGTTTGTCCTCGATGATGAATTCCACATCATAACTATCTTGATTATTGAATAATTGGATGATTGATCTGCATTGGTACAATTTTGAATCATGTGATCCGAATGGATGGATTATTAATGTGGGGCCAAATGTGAGTGGTGAATTCAATATCTGAACTGATGCAGAAGCAAATGATGAATGCGAATCATCCAATTTTTTAGGTGATAACCATTCGTCATAATTGGTTGCGCCCCATGCGTAATACGATGATCCATCATGTGCCAATGAAAAGTTATGGAATGTTGAACATGCAATTTGTTGTACATTTTCAATCGGTATTTTTGTCAAAATTGATCGATTATTTTCATCACCAAGACCAAGTTCACCAGCATAATTAGAACCACATCCCCAGAGTTGACCATTTTCAAATAAAAATAATGAATGTTGATAACCAGCAACAATATCTTTGATTCGGATATTGATCAAGTCAGCATTAGGATATGCAACAAGACATGGGGTGTTTCGGTTTTTTGCATCACCAAGACCTAATTGGCCACGACCATTACGGCCCCAGGAATAAATTTTTCCTTTATTAGTTAATGAAAAACTTCGATCAAATCCACAAACTATCAGCTCGACATTTTCTAGATTATCAATGTGGATCATACTTTGATATGATGATTTTTCATTACCAGTTATTTGACCATAACCATTATGACCCATAGCGAAAACATGACCATCATGTCGTAATAATAATAAATGCGACCATCCACAAGCAATCATCTTGAACTGATCATTATCGTTGGAAATCAATCGTAATGTTTTATTCGTTTCCCATTTAGATTTCACATTGCTGGCTAGGAATACTTGTCCATCATCAGTTAGAATGGCAACAAAATTACGTCCATAATCTACTTGAACAATTTTCATATCATCAAGACAATATATCCGTTGTGGTTTGCTCCTATCATGTCCCAACGATAACCATGAGCATATTTGATCACCATATGCATATGTAGCATTTTCGGTCATCAATAAAAATTGTTTTTTAAAGGGCGATTTGAAAGTAAAAAAACTGAAAATTGAAACAATTGATTGAAGAAATTCTTGACCAATTTTTTTAAAATCATCTTCAAATAAATTAATATCGATATTTTCAATCGATGATCTTGCCATTGTCGATAATGGAAAACACTCGAATTATAGACACAATATTGACAAACGAGAATATGCGAGAATTAGTGATGGCAGAAAAGAGATGATCAACAAAAAAATGCCAAATCATTTGATACATTGACAATTTGTGATAATTACCTGTGATATTATCATCATTATTTCCATTAAAAATTTATTGGTTCTATCTATCTATCTATCTAAGCAGTTTATCATCATCACTGATGTATTGCGTTTGTGTTTGTTGCCCGTTTATGATTAATCATAATCATCATTCACATTGAAAACATTCCTGATAAATAACCATAGGCTAAAAGTAATACTCCGTGCATGAGAAAAAAAAACATCGGAAGGCACAAAGCGTTAAGATTTACAGCTTTGATTGAATACCAAGTTGGTTCCAACCAGCCACCTCTCTTGCGGGTATCCAATTTTATTGACTGTCAACGTCTGAGAAAATGTTTATACTTGTTGCTCTGTATGTTCTGTATATGATAATGATAAAATAATTCCAAAGATCAATCATTTTATTTATTGGGTTAATCACAAATTTAAAAAAAAGTCACAAGATTATCTATTGTTTGTCATTGATAAAAAATCGATCATCGAATCAAATTGATTATGAAACGGTTCCATAATTAGAATTTGTAGCCGTTGCATTATCATCCTGATCAGTACTTGTCATTATTTCATTCGATTGTGGTTGTTGTTGTCGCTGTTCATTATTATTATTGTTATTAGTAATCAACGGATCAGATGTTTGATCATTATCATCATTAATGAATTCATTATAATCATCATCCAAATGATGACGATGCCAATAATATAAAACACAAACGAAAATTGAATAAATCAACATTATTGATCCAATAATCAGGATTAATGCTGCAACGGTATAAGCAATAATACGTGGTTGTTTTGTTTGCTGTTCAATTGTATTGGCTATTTCTTGTGTTATATGAATCGTTAAACTTTGCCACATTGTAGGCATTATTAATGATGCCATTTTTGGTTGTGATGTACCAGCGGTTTGTAAATCAACATTAACCTGTATACGAGCAATAAAATCGACTGGTGTGCCGGTTTGTGGTTCAATATCAATATATGATTCATGTTTGGTACGATTCGGATGTAATCCATTCAATTGTTTACGATAATAATCAGAGGCATCTAAAAAATGTGGCAACGATATAAATATTGGTGCTCCTTGTTGACATGCTGAAATATCGAAAACACCTGATGGTTTTATAACTGGTTGCTTCATAATCATCGTCGCTTTGTTGTCATTAATCGATTCGGTGGCTAGAAAGTAAAGAAAAAAAAATTAAATATCAGCAACTATGAACGTTTAGCCAACTTACAATTTTGATTATGTAAAAGGTGATTTATTTCTTTCGAATCCAATTTAAAAGTTTTCAATAATTGATCAATCGTTCTTTTCCATCGTTGTTTTTCATCATTATCCATAGCAGTGGCAGCAGTAGAAGCATTGGAAGTAGCAGCCATTTTAATTGATGATAATTTAGATTGATAACAACTATTTGGTGGATAATCAATCGAATTCATAAATGAATGTCGATCTATATGAAAACGATCTGTACGTAATGAACCAACATCACTTTGAATGTTTGTTTCGTTCAATGTTAAATTGAATGTACGACAAAAATCTGGACGAAAAAATTGATAAATTTTATGTTGACCAAATTGACCAGCCGGTGGAAATAGTTCACCATTTTGTGTACCATTAATCTGATTACATTTATCAGTACGCCAATAATTTAATTTGGATGATCCATTAAACGATATTAACGTTGTTAAACGGTCAATTTGATCATGACCAGTATATTGGACATATGGTCCAGACCATGTATCATTTTGATTTGACATTAATGAAAAATAACATGATGGCACTTGTTTTGGTAGTATTCGTTTCAATTCACATAATAATTCACTTTTATAGCCACTAAATAATAATTCATCAACTGATGCCGTAATGAAAAAACTAAATTTCAAACGATTAAAAATAGCACGTATGATTGGCTTTAATATTGGTGGTATTGAATTTGAATTTAACATTTTATACACGGTTATCAGTGGTATATTCATGATTGTTATCTGTTAGGAAAAAAAATTTTGAAAATTTCAAATTTTTTGTTAGTCAAAAGAAAAAAACAGAAAACATACCTGTGTTTGTAAATCATATGATGATAAATTTGCGTCGAAATGAAATTGTTTCTTTTCCACATAGGAAACAATAGTGTTATTCGAATTAAATTTAATATCACCTTTTGTCATGTTTAAATGATAAACAAATGGACCAATTTCATTTACCGTAGGTCGCCCGCCGGATAACATTTCTTCGGTGTTTGTTATATTGAATAGATAGAATTTTTGATAAATCGGTATATCCATATCACGCCATAGTATATAGCCAGGATTATCGGGTAAAGTGGCCAATTTTTTATGTAAAATATTTGAGATCAAATTCTGGCCAATTGGCAAAAAATACAATACCGAGGATAGTCAATATTAATCCAATAATCGATAATGTAATGATTAGTTTTTTATGTTCCATTGCCATTGTTTTGGGCTGCCGTTTTTGAATCAATGTCTGTATTTTTTCCAAAAAAGTGTGAAAAATTGGTAAAAATATGAAACAGAAACAACAAGTGACTCACGTTATTATCATTCGAAAAAAAATGGAAGACAAGATTTCGTTGTTGTTGATCAATAAACAAAATCAAATGTATTTGCAATGTGCGATGATATTTGATCAGGAGAAAATTGAGTTTGAATTCAATTTCTGTTATATAATTTATCTGTATGTGTGTGTGTGTGTGATTGTAACCAGGAAGCGAAATTTGTTGCTGCAGCAAAAATAAAATATTTATATAATATCAGAACAATCGTAGATCATATATGATTCGATTGAAAAAAAATCGAAACATTTTTTTTTTGAAAAAAATCCAAAAAGATCCAGCAACCACCAAAACAAAATACGACTTAATTTTTTTCTGTGATGATGATGATGATAAATGGATTCTCTGATGTGAATCAATGGATGAAATTAATGGCATTCAGGTTGTTGTTTTTCTTTTTTCCATTTTTTTCATTCATCATACAGGTAAAATATTTATCTTGAATAAATGAATTTTTAATCAATTCAATGACAACATCGAAATAAAAAATGACGCAGTTATTGATGATAAATAGAGAATGACAACGCCTCAACACATAGATATACACAAACAAAATTAGTTGCAATCACTATTTATCAGTATCATCAAAAAAAAAAAAAAAAAATATTAAGGTTGTGTTGTTATTGTGGTTATTATAGATTATTATAACACATAGAATGTTGATTAAATAAAATCCATGTTTACCAATACGTTTTTTTTTGGTTGTTGATTCACATCGTGATTCGATGATGATGGGCCATATTAATCAGTCAATCAAGTTATTGAAATTGAAATGATGTGATCCGTAAATTTATTGAATGTTATAATTTGGTTTGTTTTTTTTTAAAAAAAACAAAAACAAATCAAAATGTTTCAACAAAAAATAACCAAATTTATACGTTACAAGTTATACAAGTCTACAATGAATTGCATCTCGTATGAAAACAGTAATTTTATTAGAATTTATTGAAATTGACAATATAAATAATAATAATGATAATGATAAAGATAAAGATAAAGATATCTGAAAAAGGAAACAAAACTTTAACAAATTGAATAGATCGAATTTACCATTGATTGATAATTCATATTCTATGATGATTTAATAGTTTATTCATTCCATTTGAAAAATGTTTTCGATTTTGATTCAAATGGCCACTAGTTTGATCCATATGGTCATCATCATTATCGAATGTTTTTGTTGTGGTCGTCGTCGAACGTTGTTTAATTTTAGGTAATTTACTTTTCATCAGATATAATATCTGCCAGAATAAATTTTGATGATGATGATAATTTGATCTGACCACTTTTGTTGTATGTGCTGTTGATTGATTTATATTGGCAAAAATTTCATGTGAATTTGATTTATTTTTCTTCATTGTAGGTGATTTTTGTTGTTCTAATAAAAAATTTGTCCTCAATAATAATGGATTATTATTTTCATCCAATGATATGATCGAATTTGACGAATTTGATGACGATTGTTGTTGTTTCCGATGGTGATTAATTGATTCATCATTATCATCAATAATTTTTGTATCGATTGGTGTTAACAGCCAATGATCACCACATTTACCAAATACTAATGAATTTCTTTTCTTTTTAGTTCGTGCCAATGATGTATTACTGAATGGTGATGCAAGAATATCATTGATTTTTTCATCCAAACAAATACGTACTGGTAATGATTCATTTCGTCGTGATCCGGTTCCTAATTGGCCATAATAATTTGATCCAAAACCCAATAGCTGACCATCCACACTAACAGCAAGTACATGATTTTGTCCACATGTTACTTGTTTAATTATAAAATCATTGCCATCAATTACTTTAGTTGGAATGTTTCGATAATTGATTCGTTCACCGATACCAAGCTGTCCATATGCATTATGTCCCCATGTAAATAGATGACCTTTACGTGATAAAGCAACCGAATGATGTTGACCACAAGCTATTTCAACAATATTTTCATGTTGTAATTGTCGTAATATGGTTGGCGCAAAACGATTATGATTATCACCTAAACCAAGTTGTCCCCAGAAATTGAAACCCCAACCATAAATGATGCCACGTTTGGTTAATGCTAATGAATGAAATGCACCACAAGCAATACCGATTATATGTTCATTACGTAATGATTGAATTTGTTGTGGAATATTTATCGATGAACCGGCGTAATCATCCAACGGTAATGCAAGCTGACCAAATTCATTACTACCACAAGCAAAAATTTTACCATTTTTTGATCGTGCCAATATATGATTACGTCCAGCAGAAAATTCAACAATTTTACGTCCACATAATCGATGAATTTTTTGTGGTTCAACAATCAAATCTTGATTATCATAATCATTGCCAATACCTAAACATCCACAATTATTACGGCCATATGAATAGACATGATCATTGTTTGTTATGAAAATAACACAATCACTATTACGACCGAATACGAAAACACGTTTTATATCCTGATACAGATAACTATCAAGATCATTCAATATAGGTATTGAACGACGAAGTTTACGACGTTCCAGTGTCATGATTTAAAAAAAAAAATATTCACAACAAAAACAACACCGATCGATGATGATGATGATGATGATATGTTGTATTGTTGACAATCATCTAATGATTCCTGAAACAATCACGAAAAAAAATGAATTCAACGAAAAAAAATGTCAAAATGTCAATCGTTATTGTTGATTTTGTATGTGATTTTGATTGATGAATATGACAATTTTACATACACAACACAGACACAAACACAAACTCACACACACACACACACACACGCACTAATTGACATTGATGTTTATTCTTGATTTGTCCTATTATTGAAAAAAAATAATGAATTAAGTGATTCTTTGTTGTAATTAAAATACATACAACATGCAATTCAAGTTTGAAAGGATTTCTATTTGTTTGGCTTTGATTCAAGTTTTGCTTTTGATGACGTTTAAAATTCATTCAGTTCAAATATTATTCTTGCCACTATTTTTAAATGGAATACAGAATGAATAAAGAATTTGTTTAAAAATAATAAACAAATGTGTTAATCTTTTTCCATCAAATTCGAATGAAAAAAAAAAAAAGAAAATTGAGTTTTTCCACCATTCCGATAGATGGTGGTATTATAGTGAATGATTGGATTTTTGTTTTTATTTTTTGATTATTTTAAATTCACAAAAATTCTTGTCAATGTCATGGCTAATAATCATCATTGACACAATTAATGGTGTTCATCATTTGATACACGTTTCAAACGTAATTGTGTTCGTGTTGTGAATGAATGAATGAATGAATGTGCATACCACATTACCATCATACATCATTTATATATTCGCGAATCGTTTTGAAATCAAAATTGGTTGTTCTGTTTTTTTTTTTGAACCAAACAAAACATCTCATACATCCAAATGCCCTGATGATGATGATGATGATAATGGTGGTGGCTTGCCGTTTTCTTTTTTTCTCAATTTCATTTTCTATTACATTGGATTTCACCATCATTTTCAAAGCAAAATTAATTGAATCACATCACTTTGTTGAACCAAATACCACCACCATATGTTTTATATATTCAATGGACAGTCAGTCAATTTATTGCCACAAATTGCCGCCAATTCCGTTGATGATGTTGATATCCGGCCAATTTTATGGCATTCCATTTAGCCGTTGTTGTTGTTGGTGAATTCAAAAGTTTCTTGCTTTCATTTTCAGTTTCAGTTTCAATTTTCTTTTCATTCTGATTTGAATTTTATGTAAATTTTTTTTTTTGTTGCTCCAATATTGTTCATTGTGAAAGAAAATAACCGAAAACAAAAAAAAAGACACAGATGTGATTTCAAAAAAAAAAAAAAATTTTTGCACTCAAAACTGCAGAGAGAGATCATTTTTCAGATTCAAATTTTTTTCACATAAACCACTTGGTTATATATCATTCGGTGATGATGATGTAACAATCATTCTGGATTTTGTTGTTGTTGTTCATTGAGAAACAAGAGAAAAAAATCTGAATGAAGAAAAAAAAAATAATCCCGATTATTATAAACCAACAGGCAAACACTTATACACACACACACACACACACAAAATCATTCAAACTTGATTGAAAATTGTTTTTCTTTCCAATCATAACTTGAATATTTTTCTCTTCAATGTTTGCCATCATCATCATCATCATCAATAATTTCCAATGAATGGAAAAAAAAGAATCGGGTTTTCCAAAAAATTTTTTTTTCTTTAATTCTTGGCTCCGTGATGAAAAAAAAGTACATAGAATTTCTTTGAAAAACATGATTAATTAACAATAACATAAATGGTGTTTGTTTGCTAAAGAAAAAAAAAAAACAGAATTACAAATAAAGAACAAAAAAAAAAAAATTTTTCAATCTTACAAAACAATCAATTAACAATAAATCTTTAAATATTCTGTATCGCCGTCGTCGAAAAATTTTTTTTTTCGATGTTGCTGATTATCAAAGAAAAAAAATTCTTTATTCTTCGGTTCCATTATCGATGATTTTGTTTCTCATTGTATCATACAAATCAATTCGGCCATTGAACTGTCCTGAAAAAATGAATCCATATTATCCATTGTTTGTAATGGAATCTGTGTATCAATCGGTAATAATTCGGTGGTTAGATTCATTCCTATTATATTTTATAGAATGGGGAAAAAAATTTTTTGTTAAAAATTTTCAAGCAAAAAAAAAAAAAAAAAAAAATACAACTGTCTTACCACGTGATTCACGACACCGTTCACAGGCACATGGTATACCATTTTTTGATGTTGCAATACGATGTTGTTGTTGTTGTTGTTGTTCTACCATCATCATTGATGATTTATTCACATCGATATCGTCATCATCAAGATCATCACCGGCAATCAATGACCATTGATATAGCTCATCAGATGTTATATTATTATTATCCGGTACTTTATCCTGATCCAAATACATTGCTTGGATATAATTTTTTAATTTTTGTTGATATTGTTGAGGTTGTTGTTGTTGTTCAGATTTTTTTCCATTCTCACCATTATGATGATGATCTACATTCAATTTATTTAGCTGTTTTTCCGAACGATTATGTGATAAACGGTTCCAGAAACTTTTTCCACCACCACCACTACCAACATTATTTTGACCACCTACCATTACTATATTGCTTTTATCGGATAAAATCATTTTATTATTATTATTTTTCATTTTATTCATTTGTTTCGTTGTTGATGATGAATAGATAACATTCGAATCATTCATGTTTGAAAATCGATTTGGATCACGTATCGTATAATAAATATGATCATCATCAAATTGTTTTTGTTGCTGCTTTGACTGTTGTTGTTGTTGTTGTTGGCTATAATGATTTTTTAATGGTTCAGATAATTGATGATGTAATTGCTGCTGTTGTTGAGCTGATTTTGTATCAATCAATGATAATTGCCTCTGCAAACGTCTACTTAGATGATCAATTTTTTGATAGGATAATTCTGTTGTTGTTGCTGTCGATGATGATTGTTGTTGTTGTTGTGGTTGTTGCGTTTGTGTTTGTAATAATCCATTCTGTATCAATTCTTCAACATCAGTTTGTGTACGTTTATCTGAATAGAAAATTGTATTCAATGATTGTTGCTGTTGATCAATACTATTCGTATAATAATTACTAAAACCATGGCCATCAATAATTTCAATTTGATGATTTTTCATATCATTATTATTATCATTTAAATTCAACATTGAAATTTTCTGATTATTAAGAAATGCATTTGGTGGTGTTATAACACGTGATAAATGTTCATAACGTTCATCTTCAAGTAAATGATTTGCATCCAGATAATATAATGTATTACTAGTAGCTTGATGTTGTGATCTTTGTTGTTGATATGGTTGATCAGACCAACTTGAATCGCTTGTTGTTGTTGTTGTTGGACAACATTTGGAACAACGACATAATAGACGACATGGATTTGTTGTTGTCGTTGTTGTTTTTTCTTTAACATTTTCATTGACAAAAAAATCACGACGAATTTTTTGTTGCTGCTGATCATGATTTTGATTGATCGATTGTTGTATTTGATTCGCATTATCATTTTGTTTAATCATTGATGATGATGGTGATTCAAATTGTTGTTCAACGATTATCGATTGTTGTTGCTGTTGTTGTTCTGATAATTTCAATTCTTTTTTAGGCTGCAATTGTTCTTGTTGTTGTTGTTGTTGCTGTTGCTGCCGTAATTGACGGAAATATTCTTGAAAAAGTTCCGGATATTGACTTACATAATAACGATAAAGATTAAATTGTCGCTGTAATAATGTTTCTTGATCATGATTTATGTCCAATTCATGATCATATTGATGTTGTAATGATGATGATGTTGATACCTCTGGATCATTGTCCGTAATTGTCGATGCCATAAACACTGTATTATTCAATGATTCAGTGATATTTGAATCATTTTCATATTTTTGTTGTTGTAATTGATAATTATTCGATATTTGCTGTGGATCTGTTTCTGGTCGTAATGATGATGATGATGATGGTCTATTCGGTTCAATAATATCATTCGAATCCGATTGGCAGGAAACTTTTTTTTTCTGCAGTGATAAATTTGATTTTCGAAATGTTTTCGATGATTGCTGCTGCTGCTGCTGTTTACGATGATGATTTTGTAACTGATGCTGCATTTGTTGCTGTTGTTGTTGTTGTTGTTGATTATAATGAGCATTTGCCAATTGATGATGGTTTAGAATCTGTGGTGGGAAAAAAAAAATTTAAAATCAAAATGAATAGAAAAAAAATTCAATGGAAAATTTCTTCTTTCAGAATCACATTCGCCAACCAAGTAACTAAAGAACCAGCAGACCATAATAATGACATATTTGATTGCCATTGAATTATGTGTTATGATGATGATAGCTCATTCATTCAATGTAAATTTTATTTCAATTTTTTTGAAAACGAAAAAACACAATCAGCAATGTGAAAATTTTACAAATTGAGGATCATTTTATCATCATTTTTTTTATTGGTCTGATTTATGAATTGGATGAATGGATGGAAAAGTTTTCGGCAATTATCGAATGAAAAAGCGAGAAAATTGCCATTTATTTATATACTATAGTATATGAAGATACACAATTGTTTATCATTTATTTTTGGCTCGTCACTAATTCTCGAATATTCTCGTTTGTCAATCATTTTGTCTATATTTCGATTTTTCGAGTGTTTTCCATCATCGATAATGGCAAGATCAGCGACTGAAACTATCGATATTAATTTATTTCAAGATGATTTCAAAAACATCGATCAAAAATTTCTACAATCAGTTGTTTCGATTTGCGGTCTTTATACTTACGAAGACAAAAAACAATTTTTATTGATGACCGATGAAGCTACATATGGATATGGTAAACAAATATGCTCATGGTTATCGTTAAAACATGATATGAGCAAACCCCAACGGATATCACTTTTAAATGATATGAAAATCTTTCAAGTAGATTATGGTCGTGATTTTGTTGCCATTCTAACTAAGGATGGACAAGTATTCTTAGCCAGCGATGTTGATTCTATGTGGAAAACAAAGAGAACATTACGATTGATCTCCACTAATAATGATCGTTTCAAGATGATTGCTTGTGGATACTTCCATTTATTAATGTTACGAGAAGATGGTCATGTTTTCGCTATGGGTTCTAATTTTCGTGGTCAAATAACTGGTAATGAAATATCATCATATGAAAGTATGATCCAGATTGAAAACCAAGAAAATGTAGAGCTCATAGCTTGTGGAGCGGGTCATAGTTTTTCAATAACTAATAAAAGAGAAATTTATGCTTGGGGCGATAATGATTTTGGTCAATTAGGTTTTGGTGAAAGAAAAAAACGAAACACCCCATGTCTTGTTGCATTTCAAAATGATGATTCAACACAAATCAAAGATATTGTGGCTGGTTACGGAAATTCATTATTTTTATTCGAAAATGGTCAGCTTTGGGGATGTGGTTATAATTATAATGGTGAACTTGGTCTTGGTAATAGACGATCAAAGTTGACGAAAATACCGATTGGAAATTTAAAACAAATTAAATGTTCAAAATTCCACAACTTTTCATTGGCATATGATGGATCATCATACTATGCATGGGGAAAAACCATATATGGCAAATGGTTATCGTCAAGAAAATTGAATGGTCAACCGGCATCATTTTCAGCTGCATCAGCAATGATACTAAAATCACCAATAACATTTGGACTAACAACTAGAATATTCGAATTTCATGAACCAATATCAACCAAATCAATCATTCGATTATTTAATAATCCTGATAATTATGATGTCAAATTCATAATCGGTGATAGACGTATATTGGCATGTAAATGTTATCTTAAATCTGCTTCGGAATATTATTGTCTAATGTTTTCCGGATATTGGATTGAAAATGACCAAGTAAACATCGAGAATTATTCGTATGAAACATACTATGAATATCTACGTATGTTACACTATGACTGCATTGAAATCAATCGAAATATTATCTCTCAACTTATCGATTTGGCCACTTGTTATATCGATAAAAGGTTGATGAAACATTGTGAAACATTCATACGGAATGATCTAAATGAACAAACTATGCCCACATATCTTCCATTAATTAACAAATATGAAATGAAGGAATTGTATGAAAAACTTGCTCATCTGTACAAAAATCCCCAACAATCTTCAACAAAACGAACAAAATTTTTTTAAACTTTCATTGCTTTTACCATCAAAAATCATTCATTCGATAATAATTCCAGTGTAAAAAAATTAAATTAAAAATTTTCTTTATCATTTTTCTTTTCTGTATTTTGATCAATAAATAAATCAAATTCTTAATCAAAACAATTCAAATGACTTAGTTTTATTTTCGCTTTACCAATACCATCCATTTGGATAACAATGAAAAAAAAAATCAATTTTCATAATCAAATTCATCATCAATTGGTCATCGATAATGATAATCAACATAACACGCCGCTTTTCTTCAAATCGCTCCTGAACAGTCGTCATTTGAAATATTTTTGCAAAATTTTGAACAATTATTCCTATCACCACAAAATACAATAATCTCAAATGAACTTGATACCTCGAGTCTCTAGAGGTCAAAGGACAAAAAATTGTCAGTCCTTACAGCGAAGAGGTATACAAAAATTGGCATTTTTTCCAAAAACTATTCCATTTTTCTCTCTTTTTCTGAGGTTTTGATAAAAATCAAAGTGGTGCAAAATGGTTTTCCAACATAAAAACCACCAAAAAATCGACCAAAGATGGCTGTTCCGTTTCCTTAACAGTCGTATATTAACATTATGAATTTCTATGTAAGAAATATCTATGCGTTATACATGTGATGTCCTAAAATGGACATCGATTTTATTCTTTTTGAATTGGCCAGGAAACGAAGAATTGGACTGGCAAAAACCAGCGTGGAAAAAACGTGGCCATGTGTCACAGACTTATTTTCAGGGCCCGATAAAAACTTTGGACTCGTCCACCACTTTCGATCAAGGACGGTGGTAAATATGAGTAGCAAAACAATCACCCGAACACATGGTCTATGTGACAAGTGGCGTGGTCAAACCGATTGGCAGTTGGACGGTTGGAAAAATCATATAAAAGTCCATGTCACACAAGCAATCATCAAGTCTTCACCACAAACATTTGTTTTTTTTTATTTTTCCAACACCAGTATTTTCATTTTTACAATATTAAATTTTCTCATATTTTTAAATCTGTGCTGTGTGAATACGCATGTGTTAACTTCGTCCACTAAGAACACTATTCATATGCTCACGTCACGCAATTGTTGATCATTTCTTTTCTGCTGTCACTAATTCTCGCCTATTTTCGTTTGTCAATATTGTGTCTATGTGTTTTTGATCATCGATAATGGCAAGATCACCCAATGAAAATATCGATATTGAATTATTCCAAAAGGATTTCCAATACATCGATCAAGAATTTCTCCAATCCGTCATTTCGATTTTCAGCTTTACCTTCAATCTCGCAAAACAATTTTTATTGATGACCGAAAAAGCAACATATGCATATGGTGAAAATATATGCTCGTGGTTATCATTGGAACATAATATGGCCGAGCCACAACGGATATCACTTTTAAATGATGTGAAAATTGTTCAAGTAGAAAATGGATGTAATTTTGTTGCCATTCTAACTGATGATGGACAAGTATTCCTAGCCAGCTTAGTTGAATCTAAATGGGAAACGAATGAAACATTACGATTGATTTCCAACCATAATGATCGTTTCAAGATGATTGCTTGTGGAGTGACGCATTTGTTATTGCTACGACAAGATGGTCATGTTTTCGCTATGGGTAAAAATGAATTTGGTCAATTAACTGGCAATGAAAAATCATCATATGAAAGTATGATCCACATTGATAACCTAGAAAATGTCAAGTTCATAGATTGTGGACAGTATCATAGTTTATCATTAACTGATAAAGGCAAAATTTATTCCTGGGGTGACGATAATTGTGGTCAACTAGGTCTTGGTTATGAATCAGACGGAAAAACCCCATGTCTTGTAAATGTTGATTCGATCGATAGCCGTGTCAAAGATATTGTGGCTGGCGACAATCATTCATTAGTTTTATTCGAAAATGGTCAGCTTTGGGGATGTGGTTCTAATTATCAAGGTGAACTTGGTTTTGATAATTATAATAATCGATCAAAGTTGACAAAAATACCGATTGAAAATGTACAACAAATTAAAAGTTCAAAATTCCATTTCTTTTCAATGGCATATGATGGATCATCTTATTATGTATGGGGAGAAACCAAATATGGCATCTGGTCGTCACCTAAAAGATTGGATGATCATCCGACGTCATTTGTATCTGCATCGGCAATGATTTTTTCATCACCACTAACATTTGGTCTCACATCAACAATCTATGTATTCGGATCACATGATTCAATATCGTACCAATCCAAATCAATCCTCCAACTATTCGATAATCAAGATAGTTATGATGTGGAATTTTTAATTGACCAGAAACCTATTAAGGCATGCAAATGTTATCTCAAATCTGTATCGGAATATTATTGTCGAATGTTTTCCGGTAATTGGAGTGAAAATGACCAAGTAATCATCAACGATTATTCATATGATACATACTATGCATATCTACGTATGTTACATACTTGTGAAATTCACATTAATCCTCAAAACATAGCCGAACTTGTTGATTTGGCCAATTGTTATGGTGATGAAATGTTGATGAAACATTGTAAAACATTCATATGGAATAATCTGAATGAACAAACTATACCAACATATCGTACATTAATTAACAAATACGAAATTAAGGAATTGGACTATAAACTCAGAAATATGATAAAATCAACGGCTGAAAAAATCGATATTGATTTATTTCATGGCTATTTAGTATACATTGATCGAGAATTTTTCCAATCAGTTGTTTCGATTTTCAGCTTTTTTCCTTTATTTCATGAAATTGAATTTTTATTTATGATCGAAGGAGCTACATATGCATATGGTAAAATAATATGCTCATGGTTATCGTTGGAACATGATATGAGGAAACCACAACGGATATCTTGTCTTGATGATATGAAAATTGTTCAAGTAGATTCTGGCTGGAATTTTGTTGCCATTCTAACTGATGATGGACAAGTATTCCTAGCCAGCAATGGTTTTAATTGGAAGACGAAAGAAACATTACAATTGATTTCCAACGATAATGATCGTTTCAAAATGATTGCTTGTGGATGTGAGCATTTATTAATGCTGCGACAAGATGGCCATGTTTTTGCTATTGGATCTAATATGTGTTCTACATTATCGGGTAATAGAAAATCATCATATGAAAGTATGATCCACATTGATGGACTAGAAAATGTGGAACACATAGCTTGTGGAGATTATCATAATTTATCAGTAACGAATAAAGGAGAGATTTATTCCTGGGGCCTTAATATTTTCGGTCAATTAGGTCTTGGTGATGAAAAAATACGAAACACCCCATGTCTTATTCCATTTCCAAATGATTTGATCAATATCCGAATCAAGGATGTTTTAGCTGTCCGCAGACATTCATTATTTTTATTCGAAAATGGTCAGCTTTGGGGTTGTGGTCCTAATGGCTATTGTCAGCTTGATCTTTTTAATGGAAAGATACAATCAAAGTTGACAAAAATACCGATTGAAAATGTACAACAAATTGCATGTTCAAAATTCTTCAGATTTTCATTTGCATATGATGGATCATCGTATTATGCTTTGGACGAAAAGAGATATGTTGGACTATGGGCATCACCTAGAAAATTGGATGATTCGCATTCATCATTTGCTTCTGCATCATTTCAAGTATTGAATTCACCACACACATTCGGTTTAACATCAACAATCCATGAATTCGAATCACATGATCTAAAATCAGACCGATTAAAATCAATCACTCAATTATTCGATAATCATGATGATTATGATGAGGAATTTCTAATTGACAAAAAACGTATTAAGGTGAGTAAATGTTATCTCAAATCTGTATCACATGATACAATATTGTACGAATCAATCCTCCAATTATTCGATAATCAAGATAATTATGATGTGGAATTCCTAATTGACAAAAAACGTATTAAGGCATGCAAATGTTATCTCAAATCTGTATCGGAATATTATCGACGAATGTTTTCCGGTAATTGGATTAAAAAGGATCAAGTACCCATCGAGAATTATTCATATGAAACATATTATGCATATGTAAATATGTTACATACTGGTGAAATTCATATTAATCATCAAAACATAACCGAACTTGTTGATTTGGCCAATTGTTATGGTGATGAACGGTTGATGAAACATTGTAAAACATTCATACAGAATAATCTAAATAAACAAACTATGGCCACATTGCTTCCATTAATCAACAAATACGAAATGAATGAATTGTATGCCAAACTTGCTCATATAAGCATTTAAAAAGTATTGCCCAAAATCGCCTACAATCTTAAACAAAACAAAAAAAAATTTTTGTAAACTTTCTTGACTAGTTTTTTTCATTATTTAAAAAAAATTAAAATTAAAAATTTACTTTATCATTTTTCTTTTCAATTTTGATCAATAATAAAAAATTTTAATATACAAAAATTGGCATTTTTTCAAAAAAAAAAACTATTCCATTTTTCTCTCTTTTTCTGAAGTTTTGATAAAAATCAAAGTGATGCAAAATGGTTTTCCAACCCAAAAACCACCAAAAAATCGACCAAGGGTGCTGTTCCGTTTCCTGATCACGCCATATATTAACATTATGAATTTCTATGTGAAATTATTTTTCCTCTCATGAATTGGCAGGAAAGCAAAGAATTGGACTGACAAAAACGTGGCCATGAGTTATGGATTTATTTTCAGGGACCGGAAAATTTTCCAGTCGTCCACCACTTTCGATCAAGGACAATGATAAAGTGATTTTTGCTACTATGCACCTTCTAGGACTGGCATATGAGTAGCAAAACAATCATTCAAACACATGGTCTACGTGACAAATGGTGTGATCAAACTGATTGGCAGTTGGACGGTCCGAAAAATCATATAAAATTCCATGCCACACAAGCAATCATCAAGTCATCACCACAAACATTTTGTTTTTTATTTTTCCAACACCTGTATTTTCATTTTTACAATATTAAATTTTCTCATATTTTTAAATCTGTGTTGTGTGTGAATACGCATGTGTTAACTTTGTCAACCAAGAACGCTATACATATACTATATACATGACGTCACGCAATTGTTGATCATTTCTTTTCTGCCGGCACTAATTATCGCATTTTTCGTTTGTCAATATATCGAGTGTTTTTCATCATCGATAATGGCGAGATCACAGACTGATATTATCGATATTGAGTTATTTCAAGATGATTTCAAAAACATCGATCAAAAATTTCTTCAATCAGTTGTTTCAATTTTTAGCTTTTTTACTTTCAAATGGTCCTTTAAAAAACAATTTTTATTGATGACCGAAAATGCTACATATGCATATGGTGATGAAATATGCTCATGGTTATCGTTGAAACATGATTTGACCAAACCACAACGGATATCTTGTCTTGATGATATGAAAATTGTTCAAGTAGATTCTGGCCATGATTTTGTTGCCATTCTAACTGATGATGGACAAGTATTCATAGCCAGCGATGTTGATTCTAATTGGAAAACAAAGAGAACATTACGATTGATTTCCAACGATAATGATCGTTTCAAGATGATTGCTTGTGGATGGTTGCATTTATTATTGCTCAAACAAGATGGTCATGTTTTTGCTATGGGTGATAATAATTGGGGTCAAATAACTGGTAATGAAATATCATCATATGAAATCATGATCCACATTGATAACCTAGAAAATGTCAAGTTCATAGCTTGTGGAAAGCACCATAGTTTTTCAATAACAAATAAAGGAGAAATTTATTCCTGGGGCCTTAATTATTGGCATCAATTAGGTCTTGATGATGATGAAAACCGAAACGTCTCATGTCTTGTTGCATATCCTAATGCTTATTCAACCCGCATCAAAGATATTATGACTGGCAACTATCATTCATTATTTTTATTCGAAAATGGTCAGCTTTGGGGATGTGGATCTAATAGCCTTGGTGAACTCGGTCTTGGTAATTATATTAAACGATCAACGTTGGCAAAAATACCGATTGAAAATGTCAAACAAATTACATGTTCAAGAGACCATTCATTTTCATTGGCATATGATGGATCATCGTACTATGCATGGGGCAGAACCAAATATGGCATATGGTCATCACCTAAAAAATTGAATGATTCGCATTCATCATTTGTAGCTGCATCAGTTCATGTATTGAATTCACCAATCACATTTGGCCTCACATCAATGATCCGTGAATTCGGTTCACGTGATCAAATATCGTACAAATCAATCATCCAATTATTCGATAATCAACATAGTTATGATGTGGAATTTATATTTGACAAAAAACGTATTAAGGCGAGTAAATGTTATCTCCAATCTGTATCGGAATATTATCGTCTAATGTTTTCGGGTAATTGGATTGAAAATGGCGAAGTACCCATCAAGAATTATTCGTATGATACATACTATGCATATCTACGTATGTTACATACGGGTAATATTCATATTAATCGTCAAAACATAACCGAACTTGTTGATCTGGCCAATTGTTATGGTGATATAAAATTAATTGAATATTGTCAAACATTCATACGGAGTGATCTAAATGAACAAACTATGACCACATATCTTTTATTAATCACCAAATACGAAATGAATGAATTAGACGGTAAACTGAGAAACAAGATATTAGCAAAATCACCGACTGAAAATATAATCGATATTGATTTATTTCAAAACGATTTCAAAAAGATTGATCAAGAATTTCTCCAATCAGTTGTATCAATTTTCAGCTTTACCTTCGATGACAAAAAACAATTTTTATTGATGACCAAAGATGCTACATATGCATATGGTAAACAAATATGCTCATGGTTATCGTTGGAACATGATATGAGCAAACCACAACGGATATCTTGTCTTGATGATATGAAAATCATTCAAGTAGATTCTGGCTGGAATTTTGTTGCCATTCTAACTGATGATGGTCGAGTGTATCTGGCAAGCAATAATTTTTATTGGAAGATGAATAATACTCTCCCATTAACCTACAGCTCAGATTACTATATTATTAAAATTAATTGGAAAACGAATGAAACATTACGATTGATTTCCAACGATAATGATCGTTTTAAGATGATTGCTTGTGGAGGAGGGCATTTATTAATGCTACGACAAGATGGTCATGTTTTCGCTATGGGTGATAATAGTTGTGGTCAAATAACTGGTAATGAAAAATCATCATTTGAAAGTATGATCCACATTGATAAACTAGAAAATGTCGAGCTCATAGTTTGTGGACGGTTTCATAGTTTTTCAATAACCAATAATGGAGAGATTTATTCCTGGGGCTTTAATGATTTTGGTCAATTAGGTCTTGGTGATGAAAAAAACCGAAACACACCATGTCTTGTTGCATTTCCAAATGATGATTCGATCAATATCCACATCAAAGATATTGTTGCTGGCATGAATCATTCATTATTTTTATTCGAAAATGGTCAGCTTTGGGGGTGTGGTTCTGATAACAATGGTGAAATTGGTCTTGGTTATCATTTTAAACGATCAAAGTTGACAAAAATACAGATTAAAAATGTAAAACAAATTGCATGTTCAAGAAACCATTCATTTTCATTGGCACATGATGGATCATCGTACTATGCATGGGGCGAAACCAAATATGGCATATGGTCATCACCTAAAAAATTGGATGGTCATCCGACATCATTTGCTTCTGCATCAGTTCATGTATTGGATTCACCAATCACATTTGGCCTCACATCAATCCATGTATTCGGATCACATGATTCGATATCGTACAAATCAATCCTCAAATTATTCGATAATCAAGATAGTTATGATGTGAAATTTATAATTGACAAAAAAGATATCAAGGCATGCAAATATTATCTAAAATCTGTATCGGAATATTATCGTCGAATGTTTTCCTGTAATTGGATTGAAAATGGCAAAGTACCCATCAAGAATTATTCATATGAAACATACTATGCATATCTACGTATGTTACATACGGGTAATATTTATATTAATCGTCAAAACATAACCGAACTTGTTGATCTGGCCAATTGTTATGGTGATATAAAATTAATTGAATATTGTCAAACATTCATACGGAGTGATCTAAATGAACAAACTATGACCACATATCTTTCATTAATTTACATACACGAAATGAAGAAATTGTATGACAAACTTGTTCATCTTGCCAAAAATTGCCAACAATATTCAACAAAACAATGAAAATTTTTTGAAATTTTATAGCCGATGCATTTTAATTATTTTCAAATGTTTTCATTAATAATAATATGATGGACGATCAATAATCAATTCAAAGTTTTTGTTGTATTCATTTCGCACATTTTAATCATATTTTATACATTCATTCGATTTAAACTGTTCGATTTAGTTTTTCATTTCGTAAATGTGTCAACATCAATAATGATCATGGTATATCATCATTTTTTAAATTTTAATTCTATTAATCAATTATAATTTTGACGATAAACAAGATCCAAATTCTGTTCTCTGAATCAAGTATAAAATGAAATTTCACTATTTTTTCATGCGAACAAAAAAAAAATCAATCCATTTTTCACTATAGTTAACGAGCGAGAGATTCTTTAACATTGTTTAAATTCCTTTCAATTGATCATATGGTTTTGTTCATTCTGTTGAAATGAATTGAAAATCGAATGAAATCACCGACCAATCAAGACCATGGATGAAAAAAAACCAGAAAAAACGAAATTCACAATCGACAAAACTAAGACTTTCACGAAGAAAAAAAAATCCTATCGATCCAATAGCATAAATCACATTCAGACAGTCAAAATGAATGAATGAACAAACCATTTTGGCTAATAATAAATTTTGATAGAAGAGAAATGATAAAATAAAATGGTTGAGTAGGTCTTCTTCTTCTTTTTATTTTTTTTCTAATTGAAAAAATATGGCCATATGGATTTCTTTTTTTTTATTTTACTTTTCTTGAATAACAACCAGTAAAAAAAAATAATAACTCAATCGATCGATTGTAAGAATTTTTTTTTGTTGCAGCATCTGTTTACCCTGTTGTTGTTGTTGTCGTCGTCGTTTCAATAATTCATTCAATAGCTAGTGAAAATGAAAAAAAAATGATTTATCATTATTGTTGTTGTTGTTGTTGTTGTTGATGCCATCCAATCAATGTGTGTGTGTTTGAAGAAATTTAATCGATTTTTTTTCTTCTTCAGAAATTACTTGCCAATGACACACACACACACACAATGAATGAATGAATGAATTATTATTTTGGATCGATAATGTGTCAATTTTTTTTTCTTCTGGTTATTAATTAAAATCCGATTTTTTCATTTTTTCCTTAATAGTTCCATCATTGATTGATTGCTAATCAATGGCCACATATATATCGATGAACATAAAACATAAAACAAAAACAAAAAAAAGTGTCAAGAGCATCATCAAATATTTGTTTGTTTACCGCTAGGATTTTCAAATTGTTTGAACATCGATATTTTGTGTTTCGATGTATCGATGTATTGAAACATTCTTAATACTTTTTTATCTATTTGCTTTACACTTTATCACATCAAACAAACAAATGAATCAGCAGCAGCCACCAAGAGTGAAGAAGAGAAAAAAAAATCTGTCAAAAGTTTTTTGTTTTGTTTTGTTTTCATTTTCAACAATTCTTGTTTCATCACAAACATATTTTTTTTCACCCGTCCGATGGTATATCGATCCAAAAATTCTATACTTTTTTGTTTCTCTTTGGCTCTCCGAAACAAAATTTCTGATTCAATCCAAGTGTTCTCTTGCAACAACAACAACAACAACAAAGTGTTTGTTTTATGGCTCAAATTGCTGGTTCGACAACGACAACAGCGGAAATGCAGACATATTTTTCATTTGATCCATGTGGATATTGTGTTTCAAAATGATAAACACTAGAAAATTCGTTTTTTTCCTTGTTCGATTTGGATGTTCGATACATCTCAAATACGAAACAAACATACGTCTTGAAGATTAGAAAAAAAAATGGTCAGCTGGGTTTTCGCTATTCAATGAATCAATATGGAACAGAATCGAAAATCTCTCTCTCGCTCTCTCCCCGGATGCATTCATCCAGACCGATCGAATTGATCGGATCGATTATTGGCCTATCGATACTATTAATAATTGTAATATAAAAAAATACTGTAAGTTCAGTGCATCTTTTTTCATTTCTTCTAAATCATAATTTATTGTGCATCATCCATTTGATATTTAGATTCCATGCAAAAAAAGAAAAAAACAGTTGGAATTTTTTTTGACACAAATTAAATTGTGGATAGAATTTAATTAAGCTTGAATATTATATACGACTGATGCTGGGGCTGGAAATGACAAAAAAAAAAAAAAGAATTTTAATATTGAAAGAATCATTATTATCATTTATTCTTGTACTGTGTCCACCAAAAAAAAAAAAAATTATGGCACATCCATATCTAATAATGAATAATGATATTGATGATGATAGAATGAAAAAAATTCCATTGTACGTCAATAAGTGTGGTGTGGTTTTTTTTGTTCCACATTTTTTTTATTATTATTAATCCTGATTCTCAGAACTGAATTTGAAATTTTTGCCTGCTGATGAAATATGATTCTTTTGGTGTGATCATCATAATATATTCTTGGATATAATTTGAAATAATGAATTTCAATTTTATTACACTAGAAAAAAAAAAATTCACAAAGGCACGAATACAGAAAAAAAACCACACACACACACACATATATATATCATGAATGAATGGCCCAATTGGCCCAATTAATGGAATTTTGATGATGATGATGATGATGATGATATAATTATGAGAATTGAGAAAAGGAGAAAAAAAATTCCAGGAATTGTTCTCTATTCTAATTATTGGTTTGTGTTTTTGGTCCATCAATTGGAACGAACGAAATAAAAATGAAAAAAAGCATCACATGCAGCATCCACTTGGCTTTTTTTTTTTTTTTTGCTTTGTTTTTGACAAACAAATTTCAATCAAACAAGCAAACAAAGAATTACCACCACCACCACCATCAGCATCATTGTTTGTTTGTTTTGCTCTTGTTTTTCGTATGAAACAAGAGCAAAACAAAAAAAACAAAATAGATTCAATTATATGACAGTCTTGATTTGACAAATGAATAGACCGAATGACAAAAACATATTGTCGTTTTTTTATCATGTTTTATATGACAGTGAAAAAAAAAATGATGGTGTCATTTTTTTTTTTCGTCTGTCTGTTGTTTTTTTTTCTACATAGCATGGTTTTGATTAAAAAAAAATCAAAACAAAATCGTCTGGCTATCTCGATTTATATGGAAACAACATGAATGATAAAAAACAAAATCAACAAAAAGTTCATCATCATCATCATCATCATCTATTCAATGTTTAGAATATTTTTGCTAAAGTTTTTTTTCTTTGGTTCAAATAAAAGTTTTTTCTTATTATCGTTACAGAATACAGAATGTACACACACACACACACACACGGAATCGATAATCGGTTTTTTATTACTTTTACTGTTAGTTTCATATTGATAAAGATTTTTTTTTTTTTTTTCTATAGATTTTGATTGATCGAGTTGTCAACATATGGTTGTTATATATATATTTATTATTATTATTGGTGATGGCGGTATACATGTGCGATTTTAGTGTGTATCTATGTGTGTTTGTTGAACAATATGATTATTGATCATTCATTCGTTTTTTTTTGTTCATAGCCAAGTAATTTTTTTTTTCATTTCCTGATGAACAAAATTAATACTTGCTATCGCATAGGGTCCAAATTTTTTTTTTCGTAATGGACATGTTCAACACAAATACACACACACACACACACACAAAAAGTAAATATTAGCCAATGATATCAGGTCATCATTATTTTTTTTTTTTCTTTCTCAGTTCACCCATCAAATTTACACTATCAAATCATTTTTCATCCACACACACACACCCACGCACTTGAGCGCCTTATTTATATATATATGAATGAATGAATGGATGAACAATTTTCAAAATCGAAAATTTTTGTAATTTGACAGGAGATTGTTTTTTTTCTGTTCATAAAAAAACAGTAAAGCTCAGCAAATAAACACGGCCAAATATCCACCATGAACAATAAAAAAAAAAAAAAATTCTGGGGCTTTACTCAGTGAAAAATTGGCCTTTTTTTTTGATTGCCACTGAAAAGAAAATTGGTCGAAATCATCATTTTTATTGCAGTACTGTTATTATTATCAATGTAGCAGAAAGAAGAAGAGAAAATCCATCAAGAAACATCCATTCACCAACCAACCAACCAACCAACCACCCACCCACCCATATTACATATCTATAGAGAGAGAGAAAGAAAAATAGCAACGAGAAAACAATGAAGAAAAAAAAAGTGAAAATGAAAATTTCAACAATGATGATGATGATCATCATCATCATAATCATAATGGGAACGAACGAACAAAAAAAAATTTTTTTTTTTTGCCAAATTCATGCTTATGTAATCAACAAAAATTTTCATTTTTTTTTCATATTCTCTCTGTAAGCCCATCATCATCATCATCACGGTACATGGTACAGTGAAGAAGAAGAAAAAAAATTTCTTTTGAATTTCGGCGTTTTGTACATTTTTTTTCACAGTTTTTTTTTGCTGAATTATCATCGTCATCATCATCAGTTTTTTTTTTTTTTGCTATTCACGATCATTATCGATGTGCTTTTTCAACACATGACACACACGGGTATTGAAATATTCAAATATGGAATCTATGTATGTATGTGTGTGTGTGTGGGTAGTTTTTTCGTCTTTTAGATTGATTTGGTTATCATCATTCTATGGATGGATTTTTGGAATTCAAGAATCCAATGGATAAACGAATGTAATATGATATGAACTGGACATTTGGAAATTTTTTTTTTTTCTGTTTGTTTGTTTGTTTGTCCGTTTTTTTTGCATCAAAGAATTGACGAATGAATGAATGAATGAATGTGGCTAAAAATAAACTTGGAAAAAAAAATTCCGGCGAATCAAACAACAACAACAACAACAACAATGTTCCACATTTGGATCGCTGCAGTTGTGTTTTGTGTGCGTCAATTTAATTTACATAATGCAGAAACCAATTTTTTTTCCTGTTCGTGTTAATTGCAATGATAAAAACAAAATGATGGAATTACGAAGAAAAGTTGATGGAGAATTTTTT